CCTCCTTTGACAGTATCACAGTATCAGCTTAAAGCACTTGTTGCAGGCTGCTGAGTTTGCATATTTTGCTGTGAAGTACAGCCAGACTTTTGGGCATTTTTAATCTGTAGCTCTGCTCTAAAAGAACGTATGTACCTGGGTCCACCTACTATCCTCGGAAACGCAAAATGATTGGCTAGAAATCAAAGTGTATCACAGCTCAGGAAAATAAAGCACCGAAATGTGCGCTGCTTTTCGGTCTGGTTACTACCGTTTATGTCAGAACCATACCGGTACTCATCCCTACTCACAACCATTTATTAGTTCATCCCTAGAAATTCGGATGTTGGCTAAAATACAGCACTTATTCATTGGAAGTATTGCTTGTATGAGCTTAATATAACTATGGCACACAAGGAAAAAAATAACAATACAGCAGGCAGTAAACTGTCCCTTCTCTCTAACAAGAAGCCACCACCCCGTGTGAAGGCATTAACAAGCAGTCTGAGGTGTGCCTGTGTTTTCCCAGCCTTCTCTCTTTAAGTGAATCTAATCTGTCTGACCTCTTCAAGTCCAACTATTAGTTTGCTATTAATAGTTCAGGCAGAGCAGGGCTGCATGCTGTGCGCATGAAGACATGAGTCTGAGCTCTTGCAGCTTAAGGAAATCAAGGCTTGTTGAGCAAACAAGAAAGAAACTGAAAGAGTAAACAGAAACACACCTTCTGTATTGTTGCTCGTTTTATTCACTTTAAGGACACACTGAAGTTTGAAGAGAAACATGACTTGCTTGACTGCTTGAGCCATGGAAACAAACTAAAAAGATCAACACACTCTTTCAACATTCCCACAGATTTCAAGGGCACAGCTTTGATTTTAATTTAACTGTGGAAGCCAGCGTTTCAGGGTTAACGTCATTTCCCTCAGATATTTTTCAAAGTGTATTGAACCACTTGTCTGCCGTCATCTGTCAGTGCTAATTTGTGCTCTCTTGTTTATTTTTTCTCACCCACAGAGCAGAGAAAACAGAAGTTCTCAGTGATGACCTCCTGCAGGTAAATCATTAACCGGACACTGTAGAGCTCTGACCAGCTCTCAATGTGGGCGTATGTGTCAAGCAGGGGTTGTAGCTGGTTGTGCCATTGTGTCTGTGTTTTGTATGAAATCAGTTTTTATTTACATCTCTACAATTAAAATATTTGGAACAGGTTAATTGATGACATGTTCCTCAATAAGGAACCAGGAGTGCTCTCAAATGCACTGAGTATTAAATCCAGCACTCCACTGTGGTGCTGACACTGAGCTTGAGCTTATCGTCTACTGAAATTTCTAAAGTATTGTGTAGTAGTGTATAACTGATTGTCATTGGTATTAGATGTACAATGCTGTGGAAAAGTTTTTGAGTCACTCCTCATTTCTTTATGTTTGACTATAAAAATAAAAAATACATGCAGTGCTTTGTTGAAATATCTGATGTATAAGGCTGCTGCCGATTGGGAACCAAAAATTTCCTTTTTGAGTTCATCACCTCTTGCTACCGACTTTAAGTCCTTGAGCCTTTTCTCCTTGTTTCTCCTTGTAACTGGATCAACTGAAGGTCCAGATGCCTTTCAGGTCCTCTGTCATTTCTTTGCTGGATTTTGTTCTGTCTCTCAAGGACATGAATTTGCTCTAGATGGTTTTTTACACCTGCCAACTTGTGCAACAAGTTGAAAAAAAAAATGTATCTGAAAATGGGTATCTACAAGGACTGGATAGAAAATGACTGAAACCAAACCAGAAACACTGCAAGACTTTCAGAGGGGCTGGAGAACAGTTGCTTAAGACTTTCTCACCTTCAGCAGATTAATACTATAAATTTGCCATCCTGTTGCTGCTTCATGCGACAGTTACAGCCACAGTGTAGGACGGATCGCTGTCGTAGGAACTCGATCTCAACAGCAGTCAGACTGTACAATATCCACACAAGATAAATGCTGTATAAAAGCACATGTATATTTTATCACTCCCACTGCACTTTATGTACATTATAAAAGAAAAAATTGGTGTATTCTGGCTTTTCTTTTTTTCTATTTAAATTTTTCTAGTATAGCTCTAATTCGCCCTTTCTTCCTGTCGCTTGTGCAGCTGTAACAAGTGAATTTCCTCAGTGTGGGATTAAATAAAGTCTATGTTTATGTCAGTTACTTGTCTTGTCTTCTAGGGTAGTCACTGGGAGCACTTTGCTGTTGACTTCTCGGTACTATGAAGTGACGAGCCAGGACATGAATTTCAACCACGGAAGCGTTAATTTTTAACTTAAAGAGTGACTTCACTGAGTACTGTAAAATTTAGCAAAGAGTTGTCATGACAAGTGCTGGGTGAATAACAGTATATCAGTGCATTCATTTGAGTAGTACTTGTGTAACTCATGTGGCTGTTGCTGGTACAGGTGAGAGTCAGCAGGCACTCTGAGACACAATATTATTGTGATTTTTAACATTTTGACATATGCCGAGTATTGAATAACATATATTATAACATCTGTAGTACTGAATATTGTAATAACATATATTGCAATTTATCACCTTTTTTTAAAACTGCTTTGTCTATATCTGTTTAAAACGATAAGATACAATCATCTCACTTTGGCTAATTTTTGCTGCAAGATAGGATTGTCAAGCACGCCATCACTGTCCATAAATGTCAGTCAGACTGCAATTGAATGTTGCAGTCGAGTTGGCAATTACATGCAGTCTATTTCTGATAATATAGCAATTAACTGTGATAAGTCTTGAAAATCACGTATCTGTCGCTGCCTACAGAGACAGAAGTTCACAACACCCTCACATTCCAGACACAAGCTGCAGTCGGTCACAGAATATGTAAAAATTCTGTGCAGCCACTGATTTTTGTAGATGCAAGGAGGTTGCTGTCTTGTTTTTACTCATGTGACTGAACAGGTAGGAGACAGCTTTGTTAGGCTAAGTTTGTCCAGTGTTGAATGGTGTTACGATTAAGCTGATTTAATGTTTACTTGGGTAACGTTAATGTGAACGCGCTTGAGATGAGCTCTCTTGTTTGTAATATTTAATTTATTTCATAAAAAAAATTCAAAGACTACATTGATACAATATCACCATGCTAAACATTGTGATACTATGTTCTATGTCTATGTCAAGGAAGCTTGGCTGCCTTTGCGCTACTTCCTGCAAAGAGATGCAATGTCCATCACCCTCCATTATTTTCATTGGAGAGTAAATGAGAGATGATGGACGTGAAAATGAAGTGAGCCTCATATGGACAAAATACACATTTGAGTGACAGCTAGAACATCAGATTCAGAGCCAGCTGGACTTACTATAATTCAAGTGGACAACAGTGGTGACTTTAACCGCTTGGGGTGCTTTTTCACTGAAGAAAGGAAGTTATATTTTTCTGACAATTGACTTTGACCGCTCCTCAAAGACACTGTTGTTCTACGTCTGTCTGGAAATCAGCTGTTGTTTTCCTGGAATCAGTCTCTAGGATCTTTCTGATAAAGAAAAATGGAGTGAGTCACTCAGAGATGGCGACTCAATCACCTTTAATTTCTCCGAAGGCTGCTTTCACTTCTTGTCTCGAAATAGGAATTCTCTGTTTGTTTCTTAGTAAACTTTTGTGTTGTCCTAATGTTTTTGCAGAAGACAGTTTAATTTGTTGTGGTACATCTTCTGTTAATACCCAGTGATAATGTATAATTTCCAAAAATGCTTTTAATCCCACCTACTGTATAGCCACTACAGCAACAAATACTCTGCTTTGGCAGTAGATGTGTTGAGTATTGTTAATTTCTCATTTCTCTCAAGGGCCTTCTGAGCATGACTTAAAACGCTAGTAAGATACATTAGCTAACATAATGATTGTCTATACACTTAATTAATATCCACTGAGGTTCTAATACATACCCTCATAAAAAAACAACTTTGTTTGGATGTACTGTATAGAGGTAAGTGTGGCCACATCAAAGCAGTAAGAAAATCCTCATTGCATCTTTGTATCCAAGCAGTGAGTCGAAAGAATTCTCATTCATGCTTTTGTTTTTTTATACTGTCATGTTGCACACCTTGGTGCCCATTTGCAACCACTGTAACTCACTCAAAATGCCACTGGTAGAATATGGATGAACAACAAGTAAAGATAAACCAGTGCTCCAGTTTTTTTAGATCCTTAAAAAGCTTCCAGTTAAATATCGAGTTTAAGTCTCATTATAGATAGATGTCATAGATGTGTTTGCTTAGTACATCCCCAATAGGAACAAGGACCAGTGATAACAATAATGACCACTGTAAGTCCAGGCAAGTATTCTTAGTAGTTTATTTTGCTCCAGTCCACTCATAAAATCCAGTTAAAGCCTGCATGTTGGCATGGTAACCCACTAGTGTTGACTCAAACCTACATTAGACGAAGGTGGACAGTTTGTTCCTGAGTGTCTGGCTAGAGATAATCGAATTCCCTACGTAATCACTACTTATTATTAATCTGCTATTGTGCCTATGTTCATGTTTTACTTATTTGTGTCTTTATTAAGTTTGTCTGTAATATATTTGGTTTTAATTAATGGCACTTTGATTAATCTCTTTATGTAATAAGGGATGATGGAAGTACTGTCTGAGAAGCAGCTTAGATTAGAACAAAATAGAATAGAAAAGAATAGCTCTTTATTCGTTATACATGTAGAACAAAATTGTGGTTGCTCAATGCCAACTATGCAGGAATAAAATATAAATGATAAGACAGCAGGCAAAAATAACAAATAGGGGAAATGTACACAATCAAGAAGAATATATGCAAAGCAAGAGAAAGGCACAGAATGCAGAACAAAGTGCAGTCAGGTTCATAAAGTATTTGAGCAAAGACACAATCTTTTTTTGCCTCTGTACACCACCACAGTGAGTTTGAAATGAAACATGGTGTGATTGAATTGCAGACTTTCATAACCATTTTTATATGTAGACCCACATTTCAAAGGCTTCGGATGGATAAAATTCCTTTGGAGTCTGTGACTGTCTGAAGTCAAGAGCCCATGGACGTCACTAAATGCTGTATTTCCTCTCTTGGGATGCTCTGCCAGGTCCTCAGCTGCTGCTTATTTGTGGGCCTTTCTCCATTCTGTTTTGTATTTAATAACTGGAAAGCATGCGCTGTTGGACTGAGATCACATGACTCAGTTGGCTATTGAAAAGAACCCACTTCTTTTCCTTGAGAAACTCTTGCTTTTGCTGTAAGCTTTGGGTCATTACCCATTTGCACTCTAAAGTGTTGTCCAAGCAGTTTTCAGGATTTGAAAGCTGAGCAGAGAGTACAACCCTGTGCACTTCACAATACATCCTGCTACTTCTATCAGCAGTCACATTATCAGTATATCTTAGTGACGTAGTTCCAGTGGCAGCCTTACATGCCTCCACTATGTTTGACAGGTGTTGTGCTATGCTTCAGATCATGAGCTGTTTCTCTCCTTTTCCATCTTTTCAGTTGTCAGTCCAGTACTTGTGGAAACTAACCAACTCTTTACAGTCAGCTTCTTTCTTAGCTCGATTGCCTCAAAGCGGTCCTCTGCTTGATCCTCCGAGGTGGGAAAGAGTCAGCCAGCATTCCTGTGCCAGCTGCCTGCCCATTTCTTCTTCTCTGTATATAGCATCAGTCCACATGGGTACTGCAGAAGTACTTCAGAAATATCGTGTTGCCAGTGTAATAAGTTCGGAGCCACCTGTTTGAACACTTCTGTCATTGATCCCTCCTGCAAACAAAGAATATTTTGTTTCCCATCCAAGGCTTACAGAATAATTCCACCCTTAATGCGTCATCTCAAGCTATTTTTTGCTCTTTCAGGACATGTTCAGACATGTTAACATCATTTCTCTTAGGAACCAATAAATAAACACATCCACTGTCTGTCTTTTTCCTCCCTGTCTGTCCTACATATTATTGGGATTCCCTTTCCTATGACGCATCATGGGATTGACCAAGTATTGACCTCATCACACGGCAGGAGGGGGAAAAAAACACGCCCGCTGCTTTTCAGCTTCTTTTCGGATCTGCCGAGACTCCTCAGGATAATTTATTCTTTCTCTGGCCCCACTTTCTAACAATGTAAGGAAGAAGGTTCCTGCCATGTAATCCAAACATTTCCCATACACCCACACAGGAATCTAGGCCCTTCTAGAGCATAGGGAGGGGAATCCCCTGAATGTTTTTGTACCAGGCACTAAATGAACTGGGTCTAATCACTGTTCCCAAGCCTATAACGTGTGTATCCTTGTGTTCATGTGTGTGTTTTGGTTAGATTGTATTTAAGCCAGCTGTTTTAGGAATGCCGGGGGCCACCATGGGTCGGTACTGACGTAAGAGCACAAGGACAGGGGAGGGAAGGGGCGGCACACGGAGGCGGATATCTGCTGTGCAATTCCTGCGTTCCGACTCCGTTCTGTTTTTGGAACACAATTGTGCGGTATTTGGTTTATCCTCCTCCTGAAGTCGCCTCCCTCCATTTCTGCTCGTGTTACCGTCTAGATCTCACTGTTCCCCTTTATAATTTGAACATCTCGTAAGTGCATGTTTAGCGCTTTGAGACATTTATAGAGTTCTGATTTCTCACTTCAGTAGAAACCTGTTCTGTGAAGTTGCTTTCCCATTTTTCACAAGTAAGGCCAACTTTAACCAATCCCTTGCGTTGTCACGCTGTGTTCACCAGGCTTCTAAGTACATGTGAACAGTAACTCGCCATCAGCCCTTCCATTCCATAGCGACAGTCGGCCTAATGTTGACGTTGACCATCGCAGTCAGACACCTGGCACGACAAGCACAGTGAATAGTGACCCTGGGGCGTTTCAGTTGGCCTCTGTCCCTCAGCCTGAATAGCTGTAACTTCAATCAATGACAGTATTATATCTGGTGTCAGGCTAAAGGCACAGAGTGGATCTGTGGAGTCAACCGAGTAAACAGGAGAAAGTCTGTGTAATCAAAAAAGCCTTTTCAAAGCCAAAGAGCTGCTCGCCATGGGTCACATCTCGGTGGGCGCTGCTGGGAAGACATTTCCGATGAGTCACGTGTTTCGAAGATAACATTCCAGCGTTGCTCCGCAGGAGCAGGCCTTATCAGTCACGCTTGAACTTTGACCCCTGACCCTGACAAGGCCATCGCAAATCATATTTCTGCATGGAGCTGGAGCTCATTAGCGCTCATCTGGGCGCTCTGCCATGTTGGGTTGTGATGACAAGTTAGTGGGGTTGATGAGATTAATCTAAAGTTCTTTAAAGAGGCTGGTTACACTTTTCCTTTTACAGTGGTTGACACTAGCGTAGTTGATACTACGTTTAGTTTTTGCATAGGCCAGTACAGACAATAACATCAGTGACAGCACTATTAAATTGTCTAACACAGTGGTGGACGTACAGTAACATAAGTGTAATGTATTTGTGACACATTTCAACGTTCTCTTAGGTAGTGCAGAGACGAGGAAAATAGTTTTGTCTGAGGTCGTGCTGTGCTTTTGGTTACTTGGCATCATATTTCCACGCTATCAGAGCTTGGCTCCGACTGCTTGTCTAGCCGCTGATAGACTTCCTCAGCTTCAGTCTGGGATTTTAACAGAAAACGACACAAATAACTGCTAATCTGTTGAGTTGACAGGTTATGGGCAGGATTCATCACTTTTGCTGCCTAACTGCTGCATTATTATTCTGTTATTAGCCACAGCGGCTATCGGGTATAGTGAATGTTTAGCATTTAACATGTGCACTTTCCAAGTTACCTTAAAGTGTTGCTCAGTGTTGTAAACATACGCTACTTCAGCTGCTAGTGGGGGGCAGAGCCGTGTCAAGTTGTGTATCAACTGCATTTTCTCTCTGTAATCTTCATTGCTGCGTTCCAGTTACCTTGGAAGTTGGGTGTCGGTCACTTCTGAGTTATTTAGCTTGTGGCTCTATATAATGTTAGTGACAGCTAATATCCCTCTCATTGGTTCTGACTGTGATCACTGCAGACCCACCCAGCTGCTGTTTAAACCTTCTGTTTGGGATGGGCAGCCAATCAGAAGATAAATGAAATGTAGGCAGGTAGAGGATGACGTGGTGGCTATGAGTCATGTGAAGTACTCTAAAGGAGTGCCTGAGCCTGGTTCTGCTGGATGTTTCTCCTTCCCACTGTCACCAAACTGCTTGCTCATTGTGTTTTTCTGTTGCGTTATTGTACGGTCTACCTTACAATACAAAGCGCCTTGACACGACTGTTGTGGTGATTTGGCGCTGTATAAATAAAAAATATGGTTGTCTCCTTTTCTAATTGTGATAAAGTATAACATTTCTTGGGTGTTTGTGTTCTCAGTGTGCTCTTTCTACCTCAGCAAAAAGCTCTTTATTTGCCTAAGATCTCTTCTTGTATGTCTTGTGCACAGATCGAACGGCGCATGGAGCTGGTACGCGTGGTGTCCCACAACACACACAAAAAGATGGTGTCGTGTCTACAGGGACACATCGGTGCAGAGGCAGAGAAGAGACATGTAAGCCATCAAGCTTGTGGCTATAAAACCTGTTAAAGCAAATCAAGCAGCTGTTGCAGGATTTAGCTGTTCCTCCCACACACGTCGGGTTCTTTTTTATTTATATATATTTTTTCCTTGAATGTGTCCACAGTAGGAAGCACAATCTATAATTTCTCTTTTGTTTTGTTTTTCTACCCTACACCACCCAAAATATCCACCTCAGTCTGTACCACGCCTCTATACAGGAAATGGTCAGGTAAAAGCACTTATTCCACTTCTCCAATCCTCAGCACCACTTGCTCCATTTCCCATTTCCAGCATCTGTCATCTTCATTCACTATGCATGACACACTCGGCTTTGGGGATTCTCTCGATTAAAAACAGGATGCTGCACACACATCAGTGTTTATTCGCTGATGTAAATCATATAACTGTAAAAATAAGCTGTCATTTAGCAGAAGTGTCACTTCCTTAGTTTTCGTCTTAAATTGTATTCATCGTCTATTTTTTTCCCTCTTCTGCTCAAAAAGCTCGCTTCCTCTTTCTGAATTTACGCTTGATATGTTCAATGGAAAGTCCTAAACCAGTTTTCCATTGGCTTGACCTTGTATGCATAAGTTCATGTGTTTGTGCACCCGCATCTAATCACTGTTTGCATTTTTTCCTCCACTAAACACACAACAGAAAAAGCTTCCCCTCACGGCACTGTCCCAGGCAATGACTGAAGGTGGAAGCCAGTTGGGAGAAGACTCCTTAATAGGGTGAGTGTGTGATTGATTGACACACCAGAAATCCAATTGCCTTGTCTGGGCAACGGTTGCCGATATAGAGCAGAAGCACCCCAGAGAGTGTGAAATGCAAGGTCTCACATTCAGGGTAAGCGGCCTTCCCGGTTCTGTTTGTCTGTCAGGGGCTTTCAGCAGTTCCCTTACAGAAGAATCAGATCAGCTATTCTGGCGCTCATACGCAGAGTAGTTGAGGATCTAGAAAGTAGATGTCTACAAATCTACACTGCAGCTATGAGTCTGTCTGGAAAGAATAAGGAAGGGGAAGTATGACAGTCTGCTTGCACATGTGATTCAATCATGCCAACAGTTTTATTGATATCTGGAACTCGCTGTTTCTCGTGTCAAGGCTTATAGGTTTCATATCTGGGAAAACTGCAGCTCAAAACTGATTCACTCGTAGATAAAGTGTCACTAGGTCACTTTGTGCTCCTGGCTTTGAGCGGCTACAAATGATGACATCAGTGACCTGGTTTTGTTCTCAGCTGTTGGCTGTGGACAGATGAAGGCCTGGTTACGCAGACTGTGGTCCTTCTGTGTTGTTATGTAAATTCCATTTTGCAAAGAACACGTGTGATTACACTGGTTACAGAAGACCTAACATCCACATCTGTTAGTGTGGATATGTCAATGAGGCATATGTGTGACTTTGCTTGATTTTAACAGGCCTGTCTCTCTCTCTCTTCATGTGCTTGTCAATAGGAAAATGATGGAGGTGTGCGGAGATGCAGAGAATCGTCTGGCATCAGAGCTGATGCAACATGAGCTGCAGATAGAGAAGGACGTTCTGGATCCACTTAGCCAGTTAGCCGAGGTCAGAAACCCTACGCATTAATATTAACTTAATATAAAGGAACTGCTTTTTGAATGGCTAAAATATCAGCTGCACCCATTTCTCCACTTTAACTGGTGTCATTTATACTTTATATGATTAATTTTCTCTTGCTTTGTGCTGCCCAACTCCAAATGAACGAAAGCTTTTTAGTAAAAAGCAGCTAGTTGCTAGAGCAGTGACCCATTATGGTGATTGTCCTGTGTTTTTCGAAACATCCCAGCCCTCATAACACTAGCCAAAGTATCCTTGTCCTAGATACTGAACCCCGAGTTGCTCCTGATCAATTCACCGGAGTGTGAATGTTGGATAGTATGCACTTAGGCATAGAAAAAGTGCTTGTGTGGATGAGTGAATGAGACGTTTTTTAAAGCTGTTCTGAGTTAGTAACTAGAGTACAATAGCGCTATATAAGAACCAGTCCATTTAACAATTACCATATGTTATTCCACCTCTAATAGTCATGCAGGAAAATCAGTGGCAGTGCCTTGCAGGTCTTCTTCAGAGGTATATTTTCTTAAGCTTGGTGTGTTTTAACCATTCATTTAGGTGGAAATCCCTAACATCCTGAAGCAGAGGAAACAGCTGGCCAAACTGGTGTTGGACTATGATTCTGCCAGAGCAAGGTGTGTCTGAATGTCTTTCTGCTTGTTAGGCGATGCATTCTAAAATACCTGGAACTGCTAACACAGTAGCATAAATCACATTTATTCACAGGCATGAACTTTTTTACAGTGCCCACATTTCAGATTGCCGTCTGCATTTCCTGCTTTTTCCTCTTTTCTTTCCGTATTCAGATGGTTGCAGGCAACCAAGTCAATAATCTCAGGAACAAACACTCAAGCACTGACGGCCAAGGCTGACCTACTCAAGGAAGAGGTGGATGAGGCCATGAACAAAGTGGAGCTTTGCAAGGTAATCTTTATGTGCAAACATACTGATTCATTTCTGCAAGTCTATATCAAGGCAAACTACCAGTCATGTCAAATCATCAAATCAGGACCGTATCGAAGAAATGCCACTTGCAAGGTCATGACCTGATTGATAATGTAATTGATAATGTAAAATGTAGACTGCTTTATTCATGGCTACTTGTTGTGTTTAAGACTACTTAGGCTTAAAAGCCATCACATAGCAGAGTTAAAGTGATCTGAGTAAAAGAAACTGGAAATAGGCCTGGGAGTAAACTCATTAGAGCAACAACTGGACATTCCAAGACCCTTGGAATGGCCGGTTTGCTGACGCATGCAAACTGACTCTGTCCTGTCAGCTCTCTGTGTGTTTGTGTGAATCTACTGAACTGAGTCACTGGTGACTTTAGTGTCATGACTCCATGATGTGTGTTTCTGTCCAGGAAGTACAGAACTTTCTGTAAAACTTAGGATTTATGAGTCGTGCGAAGCTTAACCGGCCACTGACGCCTGAACTTGTGCCACCTGAAGCACTTTTTCATTCGAGGGATGACACTAGTAGATATGATCCTCTTTAATAGCCTCACTAATTCCCCTGTTTTCCCTTATAAATGATAACTTAACATCATCTTTATATATCTAACATCATGCCTTTTTGTTTCTTCTACAACAGGATCAGCTTGCTGCCGACATGTACAGTTTTTTCTCAAAAGAAGGCGACTATGCCCACTATTTCGTAACGGTGAGTTCACTGTGTCAACAAGCCAGCGCTGTTGTTGCATGACTTTCCGTGGGAACATTCACAGCTGCAGAGTAGCTGTGGGGCGGATGCTTGGCAAGCTGTTTGTATTTACTTTGCTGTCATGTACTTTACTGCTCTTATTATTCTGCTGTGTGTGTCTCTCTGTTTCTGTAGCTCTTAGAAGCTCAGGCAGATTACCACAGAAAGTCTCTCACTGTTCTGGAGACTGTCTTGCCAACCATCCAGGCTCAGCAAGGTATAAGATATGCAAACATGCTTTAAGCACACACACCTGTTTAACCCAAAATAGTGCAACGTTGTTATGGGGAAAATAAAAGTCACTTTCCCATGCATAACATGTGACGTGACCCTTTTGCTTATTTCTTGGAGGAACCTCCTGTACCTCCTTCCCAGCAGCAACCTCTGTTTTACCCGTTTTTTTGGCTCCCCCTTTTAAATATCTACTTTACATGGAAATTCACTCATATGTGTCCTGACTTGCAATGAGGAGAATCAGGTTTTCATTCCCAGCTGACTCTAGAAATCCAAAACCGCTGCTTTCAGTTACATCCGGCCAATCTCTTTTTCTTCCCCACGTTTTGACATTGTTAAAGGTACAGCGTGTAAAATATCACCACTAGATGGTCAATAGATTACAGATTGCAGTCAACTGAATTCTGTCTTCTTACCTTGTCAGATTCGAGTGCATAATCTTAACGACGCTGGCTGCTCTAGGACAATCACTTGGCCCTGTTTCTATTACTATTTATTATAACATAGTTGAATATTATCAACACTTAGCAATAGATCAGGAATAAAATGAAAATGGATATGTGTTAATTAAATATTTTGGAGTATTTTGCATATTAACTCCATGCCTCTAGCTACGGTGGCCGTTTTAGGACAAACAACTCTGGCTGCCGTTCATCTGTAGTGTGTAGGCGGTCAGTGCGCTGTTTACCTCAGCTGCTCATCCTCGTCTATTCACGGGGAGAGGAGGAGACTGCAAAACTTTGAAAAAGGTATCCAAAGCAGTGTGATGAGTCAGGAAAGCTCACTTAGCTGTTGTTGTTGAAGATGGCGGGGCTTCCACCAGTCTGTGCCCGCTCCTTTGTATATTTAATGGGTTAATTCTAAGTTCAGTTTTTTGGAAAATGTAATAAATAATCATATTTATGAGTACGGTATTTTTCTTTTCTATTAAATAAACTCTAAAAATGACTGACTATACCTTTAAAGGGGTCCTGACATTAAACAACAGTCCTTGACTCTGAGAATTTTAGGATTGTGATGTCTCCTCTCAGTTTGTTTTCATCTTACGTGCACTCTTTAGCTGTGTCTTGTTCAAGGAGTTTGTTTTTTCTGCATTAAACACATGTGGTCTTACACAGACTAGCCTGGTCTCCCAGCATGTGGCAATGACTCATGAGCTCCACACACACCCACCTGGTTTTGGAGTGCCCCACACCACCCCAAAATTCTTTCCCCGGCCCTCCCTCCTCACTTGCCTTTAAGCTCACGTGCTCACACTCGCTCATAAACACATAAAGATTACAGAACCGTCACTTCTGTTGGCTGAGAGCATGTGGTTATTATTTGGCGACACCTTGTAGGGGGAGTTTTTTTTTTTTGTTTGTTTTTTTTTTTAAACAAAATGGCCCAAAGGGAAGTTTTTGACCCAGATATCTACCATCCAAACCAGTAACAGGCCTTACTCACACTTATATGTATTTTACAATTATAATAATCTGGTCTTTCATGTGTTTCTAATTCCACTCTTTGCTCCTTTCTTCTCCTCTCTATTTATTATTAACTCTCTTTACATTCAGATTCATGGACGGAAAAGCCGGCGTTTGGCACTGGTTTGGATGAACACCTGAAGAGGAGTGGGAGGGAGATCGCCCTGCCAATAGAGGCTTGTGTCATGATGCTTCTAGAGACGGGCATGAAGGAAGAGGTATGGAAGTCATAGATTGTGGCAGGGAGTGAAGACGAGATACTGATTGAAATTTAAGTGCTTTGGATCATCGAAGATATACGGTCACCAGATCCTTTCAGTTAAACCTTATTAGTAAGTGGTTGCTTTATGGCAGAGATTCAGTAAGGTGCGCGCAACCTTCCTCAAAGATTTTGGTTCATATTGACATGATAGCATCACATAGTTGCTGCAGATTTCTTGGCTGTGCATCCATGATATGAATCTCCCATTAAACAACATCCCAAACGTGCTCCATTAGATTGCGATCTGGTGACTGTGGGGGTTATTTGAGTACAGTGAAGTCATTGTCACGTTCAAGAAACCAGTTTGACATGATTTGAACTTTGTGGCGTGGAGCATTATCCTGCTGGAAGCAGCTAACAGAAAATGGGTACACCGTGTTCATAAAGGAAGGTCAGCAACAATACTCAAGCTGTGGCATTTAAACAATGTTCAGCTGTACTAAGTGGCCCAAAAATATCCCTCAAACATTACACCACCATCCTGAAACAATGTTGTTTACATCCGATTCACCATCCAAATGTTGCAATAGAAAACAAGACTCATTGGACCAGGCCATGTTTTTCTCTTATGAAATGTAGCCTCTGTGTCCTGTTCTTAGCTGACAGGGGTGGTGCCGAGTGTGGCTTTCTGCAGCTGTAGCTCATCGGGTTCAAGGTTCAGAGATGCTCTTCTGCATGGAGTGGTTGTAATGAGTGGTTATTTGAGTTACTGTTGCTTCTCTGTTAGCATGGTTGTGTCATTCGACTTGTGGCACTGTGGTGGAAAATGCCAGCAGATCAGCAGTTTGTGAAATACTCAGACCAGCCCATCTGCCACTTAAACTGCCTTGATGCTTCATTTGACCTTCAGCGGGTCATCTTAATCATGTCTATGTGCCTAAATTATTTGATTAGATATTTGCCTTAAGGGGCAGTTGAACAGTGTATAAGGGAGCAGCCCAAAGCAGCTTTAGAAGAATTTCCGTTTTTGTCTTGTTGCTGTTTTGCTTGTTTAAAATGTGCTCGTCCGTTTGTTAATATCGGTTGGAAATAGTGCAATAAGGGAGTTGTCATCTAGCATGTAGCATGTATCAGCTGCATAACTACGGTGATTAGTGCTTTGCTGTCTCATAGGGTTGCCAAGTGGCAGCATGCATAATGAGAACAGTAACTGATCGAGACAACTGCCCCGTGCAGTACCACAGGAAGTGTTACGACTGTTTGACAGCTGATCTCCAAAGGTGCTGACATATGATCTGAACCACTCAAGAACGTTATTGGAAAAACGTAGACGCACTGCTCCAGAGAGTGAGCGAGGATTTTGGGATCGGTCTTGTCAACAGCTGCACTTAAGCCAAATAAATAAGAACAGCAATCTTATTAGCATCATACCGCAGTGAACACTTACTATGGTGAGGGCAGTTTCTGTGCTCTTTATCAGACTGGAACCTATCAGGGATGACATATCGCTTTAAGAAAGCACAGACTTCCATGTTGTTCTGCATTTACTCAGTGTGCTCCCGCCAAAGTTTGATTTCTATAAGAGGTTTTAGTACAGCCTCTTTTTAATGCTTTTGATAGGTAGTCGATGCTCGTTTTAGAAATCAATTCTTATCTAGTTTGATGAGCTTATTGGCTTTTACTTTATTACTCGTTTTAACCAGTGAACTAAAAGTAATGCTGGCATTTTAGTTAGAAGTGGCATAAACGGCTCGACTGGTCATTGAGAAAATTGAAACTAAGCTTTTAATTGTTTGTTTACACGAACATCTAAGGAGATGGGCAAATTGCAAATGATTTTCCGTAACGCTGTTCCAGAGAAATGGTCGCCATGTTATGATGAACGCGAATAGACATGAAATGTTTACGTCTCCACCCTGATACAAATTTAGAATACAATGTGCTGGGACGTGCTCGTCTCCTGTCCATAAATCAGAAGGTTTTGTTTCCCCCGTGATTGTGTAAAAAGGGAGGGAGGAAAGAGGGCAAGTGTTAACTCCAAAGCACATTATTTGTTTCCTGATTCATTCCTCTGTGAGTCTAGTCTGTGTCATTATGGTGTGAAGACAGCCTTTGTTTATGTGTCAAAGTAAATAGCTCGCTATGCTGTGACTGGTGGGTGTGTTTGTTTGCCTGCTTTAAGGTTTCATTGTGTGCAGCTGGCAGAGGGAGTATACGTAGTGGATACAGAGTCCGTCTGTAACTGTGTGTGTGTGTGTGTGTGTGTGTGTGTGTGTGTGTGTGTGTGTGTGTGTGTGTGTGTGTCAGGGTCTATTCAGAATTGCAGCAGGGGCATCCAAGTTAAAGAAGCTAAAGGCGGCGCTCGACTGTTCCACTTCACAGCTGGAGGAGTTCTACTCTGACCCCCACGCTGTCGCTGGTACGTTCCAAACCTGCACCGTTCTTCAGCTGTTGTATCTCTTAGTGTAAAATTTGGACCAAAATCTAAAAAGCAAGCAAATATTTGCTGTTTATTATAATTAATGTTTCTTTCAAACTTTGTCTTTTCTTCTTCATATTTCAGTGACAAACTCGGGGATAGTTCAATTTCACTCTTCACGATTCTAACTGATAAATGGCGTAGCGGCTCGATTTTATTTCATCTACATTTTTGCCTGTAATAGTGTTTTTAAATAAAACTATTGTGCACATGTGTGGTTACAGGAGCACTAAAGTCCTACCTGAGGGAACTCCCTGAACCTCTAATGACCTTCCAGCTTTATGATGAATGGATCCAGGCATCCAGGCAAGGCTCTAAATAGTCCTGTTCAATCTATCTTTGCACAGCACATTACAGATTCAAGTTTTACTTGCCATCTGGAGATTACACCAGCAATTATAAAGGACGGAAACTTCAAAAGTTGATAAATAAACATGTAATCAAAGGTTTTTAATATGCTTCTTTAAGTTTCCTGTATAATGTGAGAAGTGAGAATGATGACAAAAACTCTCAAATGAATTTGATTAAAATAAAAGCAGGGTAGTTTATATAAACAATTTTAAATTTGCCATGTGAAACCTATAAATAATTAAATTTTAATGCTTTATTTTGGTGGATTTGAAATACATATTTTTATGTATATTTTTGGCTTCTTATGTCTTCCATAAAGAATGAGCTGTGCTGTTATTTATCTACTTTCTTCTATCATTCTAGTGTGTCAGACCCAGACAAACGGCTCCAGGCGCTCTGGGTTGTATGTGATAAACTACCAAAGAACAACAAAAACAACCTGAGGTCAGTCGCTGAAACCTACATAGGGACTGATTTTGCTTTTGTCTGTCACGCAAGACTATTCTCAGCTCACTGCCCTCCGTGTTTTCTTTTAGGTATCTGGTGAAGTTTTTAGCCAAACTGGCTCAGGAGAGCGAGCTGAACAAAATGACCCCTAGCAACATTTCCATTGTCCTGGGACCCAATTTGCTCTGGGCCAAGACTGAAGGGTGAGCGGGCAAGACAGAATAATCTGTTGCAGCTTACTTGTCAGTCATGTTTAAAACAAGGGAGATGTAACAGTGTCTGGGAGGTCAGAGCCTAGTCTAGGGTGGTGAAGAAAACGTAGAAACGATAGTCTGTTATTTAAGCTTATTTCAGTTTATCCCTCATTATGTCAGAAAGCATCTAATTTTTGCACATCTATGTATGCACACCCAGGAGTCTGGCTGAGATGGCTGCAGCTACCTCTGTGCACGTGGTGGCCATTGTTGAGCCCATTATCCAACATGCTGACTGGTTCTTTCCTGAGGGTAGGTCTTGGGTTTCCTCTATAGCTGCTTATTTTCAGTCTGACCTTATTTACCTTCTTTGAAGCCATTAGTCCTATCAGTATATAAGGCAGTCATGGGGAAGGCAGCTGATATTGATTGCCTTGCAAGGCCGATAATCAGGAGTGAAAGGGGACTGAGATAAGAAGACCAAGGTCAAACAGTTTTTGTACTTTAGAGGCTGGCTGGAAGATGTATTTTATTGAATGTCATATATATATACAAGTTGCTTTAAACACTCACCAAATCCAGTGAACTGAAGAACTAAATGAAAGTACACCTCGACCTGGTGCTTTTGGTGGATTCCAGAAAATCCCAAAGACTTGTTCATCTAATTCTTGTTTTTTAAAGTCATTAAGGATGGATGGTGTGCATTCATTGCATCCTGGAAAAAAACTGTTTAACAAAATCATGAAAAGCCAGAAATACCATGACATCCATACTGATGTTGGATGTATGTAAAGTTCTGAGGCAGCTGCATATTTGTCTGGGTTGCACAGGCAGGTTAGTTAAAGCCTCTCTTATAGTCTCTGTTGAGGGCCTGTATCTTAGGCAGAGATGATATATTACTAGTGTTGCCATAATTGAGCATCTCTGGTGCACATACAGAGAGGGATGATGAGACAGTGGGAGCTATCACCTCACAATAATAAGGACTTTGGTAAATTGCTGACTGTGTTTGTGGAAACTCCTTTCACAATCTGTAGACAAACACTTTCAGGCAAATCTTTGATTCTTAATTTCGTTCAGTTAAATTTGAATTGTGTTTTTGAGCAGCTTATGAGAGGTTTTTGGAGCATTCCAGCCTAATGTAAACTGAATAATAGGCTAATGTTTGTGTCAGAATAAACAAAGTAAACATCTGTCATCTGGCAACATCTGCTTCTTCTTACACATAAAAATGAGTGTTTTCGGCGTGTTTTCTGTGTTTCAGTCTAACAAGCTTGGATAACGACCCGAGACCTCCATGGTCTTGTTCAGTTAGGTTCTCCCTCTATCACAGGTCACAAGCTAGCGTAAAGTAAAGAATGCAAACATGGATTGATTGAACATTCTGTGCATTACAGTGAATAACGTTAAATTTACGTTAAATTGTTCGTTTGCTGTTTTTGTTTTTTTACCAAAAGGGGGCGCTATAACACCCACCTGCACTCTTTCTTTATACAGTTTAACCTGTTTTTCTTAACTGTGTTTTTATAGACGTGGAGTTCAATGTTTCTGGCATGTTTGTGATGCCCACACCTGCATCCAACCACAACAATCACTTAGATTATGACTCGGGCACCATTGAAAGGAAGAGACCTGGCAGCATGGTGGGACCAGAGAACGACACAGGACGCAAAGACAAGTAATCCTCCAGAAGTTGCTCGCTGATCACTCTTATTCATTTGTGCCTTTTAATCCAGCTGCTTTCTTATGCTGCTAGATAATGTTGGTGTAAATAATCCGGTCACTTTTCTCGTTATGCTGTGGTGATTCTGCCCTAATCATGAATCTCTTTTGGTGGTTTTTGTTTCTCTCCTTCACCGTCTCCCTGCTATCCCTGTGTAGTACCACTAACAAGCACTCGGACCACACCCTTCGTAGAGGCAGTAACACTTTAGGTAGAAAGCAGCACACTTCACCTGCTTTCCAGCCTCCTTTACCCCCCGTGGAGGCTCAGGGACAGGGACACGGGGCTGGGCAGGTTCCCCAGGCCTCGGCTGAGCCCCAGTCACAAGCTTCACCTGGGGGTTCAGGGTCTGATCCTTTCCAGCAAAGTTTGGCACAGGGTCTTGCTGCTCTTGCAGCTGCTCAGCAGCTTCTAGCCCAGCACACAGAGGAGCTCAGGTAAGAGGTGTTTCCCTGCATCTCTGCTGCTGGTGGCAAAAACGTAGCATGCCTTACAAGCACACATGCATGCTTTTATGTTTTCAGGGTTCGAACTGCAGGAAGACATTAGTGAATTGTCGGAAAACACAACGTCAATCTGATGAGTTGCATAAAGTGGAGAGGTTTATTAATGCATGGCTCACTGGCACCTCACAGACATCAGCTCTTCTCTTGGTCACCTTAGTTCAGCTGGTGGTTTCTCTAACAAAACCACAAGTTTTCTTACGCCACCACCAGTTGCAGCTATGCAGACGACTCTAAAATCAGCCCACTGAAATGGCACAACAATGGCCTCTGTCATTCCACTAACAGTCGCTCTCAGGGCCTCTTGACTTCCCATCCCTCTGCTTTCCTCCCCAAATCACTAGAATCAGCAGGAAACTCACACTAACTGGCTCAAACTGCTTTGAAAAGCCTGGACATTGGCGCCTGTTATGCAAAGACTGAACGAGTGTCTTTGATTTAGTTGCTGAAAAGACAACATTCATTTTCAGACAGATGACACTATTCAGCTCAGCATTTTTGGCTCTACAGACTCCACTGGGAAAGCAAATTTAGATGAGCCTCCCAGATTATATTTGTGGCACATACTATGCAGCACATGAGAGGGGTTTGCTACAACTAAAATAAATCTGATTCTACTTTAATAGCTCTTAAAAACATTCAAGGCTGGATGCTGTTGCATATGTGCTACTCAGTTTCGGCCAACTTGATGGTTTAAAGCTTCTTCTTTTTTTTCTTTTTTTTTGGTGTGTGTGTGTTCTTTCTCTTAAGCAGCCCAAAGCTACGTGACTCTACATCCACCCCAACCCCTGCGCTCCAGAGGAATGGCTCTGGAGGAGGCAGCCAGGCTGCTGGCCAGCTGGGCACTGGAACCCCTGCGGCTGGATCCATGGGGCCCAGTCCACATATGATGCGCAGAGGTAAGAATCTACACCCTAAAGTGGTGCAATAAGTCAGTCATTCATTGCTTAGAAATACTAATTAAATAAAGATCTAAATATGTTTAGGACATCGGTACAGCTTCTGCATGGGTTGAATTCCCATAATTCCTCCCTCTGAATAGCCAGACCCATGCAAACAGACTTTAGGGTGGGACCATCACTGTTTGCATGGCTCTTGGAGATGGTATGAGATTGATGGCTAGTGAAAAATTAAGCCAGTACCCAAGTCCCAAAAAAATACAGTTCCTCTAATGGTCACTTCAGGTTCCAGCAGCTACTCACAATTGATCAGGGAATGCACGTCGTTTCCCTCGTGACCTGTGGTTGGCAGAAGGTGCCTAGATTTTCTTATACAGATGGATATCGTATGTATACTTTTGGACTTTTATTTATGTTTCCCACCAATAATGGCAGTTTACCTTTTGCTTCCAGGTACCAAGAAGCAGGCTCCTGCTCCTCCCAAACCCACAAACCCTCCACCCAGTCAGCCCTGTAATTCTGTAAACCACTCCTCATCCTCTGTCTCCTCCCAGACTTTCAGTTCCACCCCCAGACCCCTGGCTAGCCACTCGTCCACCTCTGTAACCTCCCCCACCTCACATCCAAGTGCCACACATCGGCGCCATTCGAGTAACCAGCCTCCGATCCAGGCGCCGAGCCATCCACCCCCAGAACCTCCGACGCAGGCCAATCCCTCTGTGCAGCCCACATCCCTCGACCAGCACAGCGCCGACCCCTCACCCCCGGGAACCCCAACCCCTCCAGACACCCCTCCACCCTGCACTAACAGCCAGGATGCAGTTACCCCTCCATCCCCATCTCCATCTCCCTACCAGTCGGGCTCGCTTCCCCGGCCGCGGCCTGTCCCCAAACCACGGAACAGACCCAACATCCCCCCGCCGCCCCAACCCACCACAGTGACCAATGAGACCAACGGGATCTGTACCAAGATGATGGGTGGGTACCGTTTCTTATGTGAAGTGTGTGTAACAGTGTCATTACTAACCTAATACTAATGTACTGTAATTCTAACACTCTTCACTGTAATACCTCTGCAGGTTAAAGACACACTTGTGAGGTTTGTTGATAATTGACACTTGCAGTAGCACTTTTTTTTTCCTTTTAAATACATATCATCATCACAGCCTGCCGGCTCTTTCACATCCTTTTTTTTTTTTTTAAACTTTGATGCACGACTGTCCCATGATGTGTGATGGATTTTAGTGAGAAACCCACTTCTGATGTGAAAAGCAGATATTTGATACGGTTGCACTTGCTGCTTCCAGTCGAATGATGAGGAAGAAATCTGCAGATAATATTTGTTCCTCTTGAGATCTTTAAAAAAAGAAAAGAAGAAAATGTTGTGTTTTTAAACACTCAAACTTCAATTCATCAGTTGAGTTGCAAAGTATAGAGGGAATATAGCCTCACTGATCTTTACCCACTTATAGTGGGCCATTCATTCGAGTCATTGAGACACATTTCACCCCATGTTTTCTAAGCACCTCCCACAGGTTGGATTGGATTAATGTCTTCTTCTTCTGTACCATACAGACTTTGCTAGCTACTCCAATATATAAAGAAATACCTGAAGGTGAAACACGAATCATTAAAATCTTTCCACCGAATTCTTTGGCTTATGTTTGTTCACTAACTTTAAAAATGTTGTGTTTTTTCCATTAACACGGAAAGACACCTGAGAGCTTCACACTGATGGACTCGATTAAACTGTTCACTTTATCTTCCACTGCTTCTCAAAAACATGTTTCTAGAAGTGAATGTCTCACTACAGGTAATACGGCAGTCTGGCATCAGAGCTGTCATTGCTCACGAGTCATCTTCATCGGCTGTCACTGTGTAATCACAAACAAAAGGGGTTTGAAACTCTGATCAGCTCTTAGCGAGGCTTTCAAACCCTTCACTGTCCGGGAAACTCCGTTCAGATTTTCAGAAATATGAAGTGATTCGTGTTGTGGAGTTTTTAAGCTTTTGTATTTTTTTAACTCATGTGTACCTCTAACATGCATGTTTGTGTTTCCAGTATTCAGAATCATGTCCACCCCTCCACCCACCCCCAAAACAGTGTAATGCCCTAGTTTTAATAATTGCATTCAAATGCAAATGAGTTTTCCGGCTAAAATTAAACAGAAACATCTTTCCGGACTTTACATTTTCTCTCTGCTTCCACTGGTTTGTTGCACTGCTGCTTGTCAGGCTCTGTTGCACAGCGCCACCTGCTGGCTGGAGAACTCCTCACTTGCCAAACCTCTGCTCCAGTTTAGTTTTAATCTGCGGAAAATGTGACACAGTTTGACTGCTCTGCAGCAGCTTTAAGTGTTTTCATACGTCGGGCACGTGTTTGCCATTATGGCTGCTGTTTGTCATGTGGGCATTTATCTTTTTGGGATGTTTATGTAGCGTTTTATATGAATTCCTACGTGCATGGGAAACCCATTTGCAGTCCCTTGCTAACATAAACAGTAAGTGGAATTATCTGCTTCAGCTGTTACCACACACATCTCCTTTTATCTAAAGATTATTTGCTATTGTGACTAAGCTTACATGTTTCCTCACCGCAACTAATCTGTCTTCCATGATGTGTCCCGCTTTGTAGATCCGGTGATTCCTTTCAAAGGTTTGAGTCGATCTTTGGTCCCTGACCTCACGGCAGTAGACCAGCAGCTGCCGACTGCCACCGCCTTCTCCTCTTCCTCTTCGCCGCCTCTTCCTAAAGACTGTGACCTGGAGAGCGAGAGCACTGTCCTATAAGGACGCGCCTGCCCATATCTGCAGCCCTCGTATAAAAGATGAACCTCTCCAACTGTGCCTGGTCATGAAGGACAACAAACTAATGGTGGCCATCATGGAGGTCAAACAGCTTCCTGTCAGCAAAATACATAAAACATTTCTCCAGTCACATGATTAATCTTTGACATGCTAGTTTATTATATGCGAGCTCTATTAGTATTTTTACCCACTACTACACACATTTTAACATCACATTATTATAGGGGGTAAGCTAGATGAGTGGCAGTTTGTCTTAGAGCGTTACTACTGGTTGTCTTCACTTTTATAAATGCCATAAGTACAGCTTACAGTCAGTATAGTTATTGATTATATAACACATCTTTAAGCTAAAAGGGGTAAAACATCACTATAAATTCACAGAACTGAGCTGATCCCAGCTCACATCAGCTAAAGGATCTCACACGCAAGCCGCTTTGCAACCCCCAGCTCCTTCGCTTCATTCTGTTTTTAGTTTAATTCATACGTGTGAAACAGTGTACTAGGAAATCTAGAAGGAGTGATAGTCATGTGAATGCCAAATTTTTGGTTTATAGTCTGACAACAGAGGTAGTGTCCACATGCAATTGGTGTTTTCCACTGTTTCTACTGTTGTTTAGTGCAGTTCGTGTGTCTCAGCTGTCATCGGCACTCGCTTCCCGACAGTCTTTTCGACCTCCATGATGTTGCCAGATGTGATTTTTGCAGGGAGACTCGTGATACAAAGCCTTCACCCTGCGACATGTACCGGCCCCTCTGTCTTTACACCGCACTCCCTGCAGATCAAGCTCCAGACAATCGTCAAAGAAGAGCGTAGCAGAAACGAAGGGCAGATGTTGGATCAGCACTGCTGTTAGAGACGGTGTTACGGTAATATAAAAGAGCACGGTGGGGTAATGTGGGGCAGCTGCCAAACTACGGACTGATAGGACTCAGTTGTATTTGGTGTGAGGTGGGGGTTTTCTGTGTGTGAGAATTTTTCAGTGTTGAACATGGCCTTAGATCAAGAAATAAATAAGTTGTATTTTTAAAAGGTGGATGGAATAGAAACCAAAACAGTTGAAGTGTAGCTGTGACTGCAGGTTTCCAGTCGTCTCAAACACTTAACTTTCCCTTTTCTCCCCCTTTATACTTTTATTTCTTTTTCCTCCTGCCTGTATTTATTTACCAATTTAAAACAAAAATACATTCCCTAGTGGCTTGACATCTTTAATGCAGTCTTTAAATATGCACCATGCCTTATCGGTTCCTCCCAGAACTATGAAATACGCATTTACTGTATGGAGGAGGGGGGTATTCCCTTCTAGTACCACAGTATTTCTAAGAAGCTGTGTCAGTAGCGGGTATATTTCAGGCCGTGTCCGATAAGAAACTGTGCGCTTCTGCATTGTTCTGCAGAAGTTGTGTATTTAAATGTGTTTTGGGTTTTCTAAGCAGACGTAGCAGGGGTCGACCTGACCCTCCCAGCCTGAATGCAGTCAGTATTTTTTGCCTTTCTGTTTCTCCAGTCTATCTTAGTGTGCTCTCCGGCGTTCGCCAGGGCATTACACACAGCGGGGCTGAGCGTGAGCGAATGTAGTGAAACATCACCCTGAGCAGAAAGATGCATAAAGAGCTGATTTTGCACTTGAGCGCAGGCCAGACTCACTGAGTGGTTTTCTAGTGAACTCGGTTATAGAGGGCTTGGGTTTTTTCCCTCTCTCTGTCTTTCCCACTGAGCTGAGTGAACACGGTGCTGTGATATCTCAGTAGTGATGTGGTGTTGGATTTTTGCCCGGTCTGTTGTTTTTGGATTTTTTATTTTATTTTAAATGGCTTTGTTGTACTTTCTGTGTAAACTTTGCTTTATTGTTATTATTATTTTTTTGGCCTCTGATAAATGCAGATTTTGGTTCTTAGAGAGCTGACCCAACATGGTACCAGGTGAGAAGGTCTTGGATGCTGCAGTTGCCCTGAAAAGAAGTTGAGTTGTGTTTTTCAGAGACAATCAAAGCATTATGATCCCCTCCTTTCTCTCTCTGTGCACTCTTGTACCTTGCTGCCTTATCCTTGTGCGTTGAGAGAACAAACAAATGCCATTAAACTAGAAATGATGATAATGATGCTGCATTTTTAAGTTCCATAGTTTTATATGTATGCTGTCTGGTGAGCTTAAATATGGGGGAAAAAACATGTAATATGAATGCTTTCCTTTCCAAAGAAAATAAAGTATATGAAGAAACTATTTAAATCTGCTCCAGGTTGATTGTCTTGTGCCTCGACTCTTGTCCTGTAACAGCCTTAAAGAATGAGGGTTAAAATATTCCTGTAATATGATTTTAAAAAGGGTGACAAATTGCTAATGTCACTGATTAAAAAGCTTCTCTTTTTTTTTTGGAATTGCATTAACAAAATGTTACCTATAAACATTTGTTCCTGTTGCCACTGAAGGGCTATATGCAATTATGCTAAAACAATCAGGTTAAACTGAAATAAGATTATTTGGGTCATTAAAATATTTCAGTTGACTGTAGACTGAGCTGTTCACATGACGACCATCCACGCTTTCCACGAGGAGGGTAAGCCACAGAAGCCTGGCCCTTCAGAGTGCTGCCACAGAGGATATTAATGGAAAGATGACTGGAAGGGGAAAGGGTGCACAAGCAACAGGGATGACTGCAGCCCTGAGAGGATTGTTAGAAAAAGTCGATTCAAGAACTTGGGAGACCTTCACGAGGAGTGGATTAGAGCTGGTGTAAGTGCACCAAGAGCTGCTGTCACGCTGCTGTCACGTCCCTAATCTCAAGCCACCAAAGACCAACCAGACGAAGTGTTTTACGTGGGCTAACAAAACCAAACTGTCGCTAAGTTGTTCCCTTTTCAGATGAAAGTACATTTTAAATTGACTAAAGTCTGGAGGAAGAGTGGACTGTTTCCACAGTCACGTCAGGTGCTTCTGCTGGTGGCGCTCTGTTTTATCACGTCCAGAGTAACAGCTGTATATCAGCAGGTCGATTTATGATACTTGATATGCTTTCTTCCTTTTACTGCAGATTAGAATTCAGCAGAGATTTGCACATGGACTGATTCATGTTGATACTTATATATCTGCTATCAGCTGATAATAATGGGCGTTCAACACGTGGGTCACTCTAAACCTATCACCTGAAAGCACAGATAAATCAAACGGCGTTACTTTCAGGCATTTGTTTTTATTTAAAACATTTTAAACATATCCTCCATCTGAAAGCTAACAGAAAGGTAAAATGATCACAAAACATTAGCAACTTTTCATGAAAACATATAAAACAGTTATAAAAGAGAACCAATAAGTTAACCTAGCTAGACTAACAGAAGTGTATTTAAACCTAAATATCCAGGGAGGGTAAATGCTACCAGCTGCACAGCTTTTATACATTAACTGCACCGACATGCAAATGACGGGGACGAGAAACACCGTTACTACACCTGTAGCAGCTAGGAGTGTATTTTTTATTTTTATTTGTTTATTTTTACAAGGTCACAGTCACCTCGTGAGCCTGACTAAAGCTATGCATTAAGAATAAATAAAACGGTAATTTCCTGGTGACACACTTGGATAAGAAAGTGAACTGGGACTTGGAGGACAGGGGAATACAATTTAAAAAAAAAAGAAAGAAAGAAATGAGCAGTGCATAGCAAAAAACAATGAATTTACAATTTCAATAGTTCATAAACAGAAATACAACACAGCTACAGGTACACTGTACTGTAGAGGAGTCATGACATCACCATGACAACCAGAAATGCAGGAAATGTCCATTTACAGTGTGTTTTTCCTCCCCGCACCCCCTGTTGACGTGCATTCATCCAGAGGCCGCCCACTTGTTGGAGCAGAGATGCATTCAGAACACTAGAAAGACTCGACAAAGTGCACAACCATTAGCCGTTTGCCAGAAGCAAACAGCTCACGCTTCACAATGAAGCTGGCTTTCACCTTTGAGTACAGCCAACAACAAAAAAGGACACTAATCACCCACATGCTCTGAAACTACAGAATTTGACGATGTGCCGATGGCGGGCCGTAAAAGGTGCAGCATTGTTTGCAAAACGTCACTCAGAACCCTCAAAACAAATGTGCAAATGAATGTGGATTTCACCGAGTCCTCACAGGGAGAACAGCAGTGATGCTGGATGAATACGAGCGGATGTTCACAGGCTTTAGTTTGGGTGCAAATGGGCTGCATTTACTCAGTTGGTCAATGCGCATGTTGCAATGGATGAGGAGTCACAAGGAGACTGCAATTGTTTGGAGACCGGTTGCCTGGTGGGAGGCAACATGTCTCCAAACAATTGCAGTCTGCATCTAGTTTATAAACGCAGACAGATTGCATGTTACACTGACTCTGAGTCAGTCTACGCCAGTGTGCGCAACTCATCTGTGTGGTTTCTCTTTGCAGTGGGGAATTCAACTCAACAGTTTGCCAATTGGTTGTATTCTGTTTATCTTCCTGTAAGGTTGCCCAGCACCTATTTGATTTGCAGTTAAATCGCCAACCTGCAGCAACTACGTCACTAGTGGTGGAGGAATTTATGGGCTTCTGGCTGGACTGGGAATACAAGTGGTTAATTTTTGTTTTATGTGAATTTGGACATCAACAGATTTCATGCGATTGCCGGCTTGACCCCCTTCAATCGCAAACTGATAGCAGTCAGACTCCATCTTATTGCCGTTTTATTTCCATCCGAGTCTTCAACGCAACAATTCAAAGGCAAAAAATTGATTGCGAGCTGTCATGGTAGAGTGTTTACACTTGACTGACATAAGTAACAATGTAACCTTAAAGGATGCAGGCCAAAGAATCCTCTTCAGATCTGTTTGTTTGTTCAAATGACAAATTTGATTTTATCACTGCAAGATGAGTTTTGACATTTTGAGTTATTTTAACACATTTTATAATAATAATAATAATAATAACAAGAAGAAGAAAAATTAAAATATTAATAAAACTTAAATTTGTAAATTTCTACAATCTTTACGGCCTTGCTTTGCTTCCATAGACATCAGATCCTCAACACTTTAGGACCAGAGCTGGGTGTGTGTGACTTTAACTCGCCTCTATCAGAAGAGAAAAGAAAAAGGATTTTCATCATAGATGTCACAGTAAAGGAAATAAATATGACTACAAGTCATACAATTCATGTTCTAGATTCACAATTTGGACATAAATTGTTTAAAAACTCCTACCGTCTACTATTTCTGAATGTTTAAAATATATCCTGCAGTATGGGAGGCAGTGAGCGCACCATCAAACACTAACACTGAACTACACCTGTCAGTCATCTTGAGTCCAGATAACTGTCATCAGCCTACATTTATGCTTCGTCTTTACAATTTTCAAATATGATCTGATAGAAAATATAAACTTTATATAGTCGTATAATAAACATGTAAATAGTCATACCAGTTGTTGTCGTTGCTTAAACCTCGCTTTAATGCAGCATCACAATCAAGGGCCTTGAAAGGCTTCCTTCTAACAATCTTTACAAATTTACCAATTAATGCGCATTAAAAAGAGATGTAAATAACGTTGATAAGTGGCGGGAGTATTGCGTGTGTGCTGTGGAGTTCCTATTGATCTGTGGACACCTGAATCGTCCTGCTCTACCAGCACCTGAAGTAATAGCACTGCTGCACACGGGGCACTCGTTAACTTGTGGTTTATCTACATACAGATACAGCGCATTTCCATTGTGTTTGCTATAGATGACGTGGTCTCTGTTCCCGTTGGTTTGAGTGTCTGTGTGTGATCTTGGCACTTTGGTTATGGAGAGCAGAGTGAAAACTGAGAGCCGGCCGGCCTTTTCGGTTTGGCCCGACATCTGCCCGCATTTCTTGCTTCTACCAGGCCAAAGGGGAAGACAGTCTGGGGCTTCTGGGGTTTTCTGGAGTCTGGATCTCACTGAGAGCTCTCTGCAAAAGAAAATCCATAATCTCCTCTTATTTATACTCATTTTACCCCATTATTTTCAGATTTAGAGCACATTCATTTATTCCACAGACAGTGCCGCTTTGCAGCCTAATCAGTTTATAGCTGCAGGCAGCCGGTCTGTGTGAGAGCACTGTTTGAATGCCTCATTGTTTAGTAGGTTTGAGTCTGTCACACGCCTGCTGAATATATCCAAAATATGACTGTCACCTTCTGGAACAAGTCAAATTTAGCCTTGCTCATCTATCAACACCTTGACAGAGAACAGTGGAGTAACAGCTCACCTCAAACTTGGATACGAACTCTGAAAAAATGCCAAAGAAGGTCTCTGTGCTGGAGGACTTGCTGTCCTCTCCAAAGTAGGAGGCCACCTTGGAGAACTCCTCCATGGCTCTGGTCTGCAAAGATTCAAGAGACTGGATCGCAGGGTGGCTGTTCTCCAGGAAAGTCTGTGGGCACAAACATACAAATATACAGGGGCTCTTAATGAATGGTGCAACTGGGTGAAGATTTAGAAAACAATTAGTGATGCTGCCATGATGCCCTGATCTCTCTTGTCTCTATATTTACACTCCTCCATGATAATGGATGGGTGCTACAAAATTGTTTGAGGCAAAGCAAGGTGCCACCACCTGTACACTAACAACTCTTTTACTGAAGTAGTCCTGGTTTGGAAATGTTATTGATATCTTTTGAGAGTCCATACAAATATGTCTGGACTTTCCTCTTATACTCCTGGTTACTGACACCTAATAACATGAGCACAGGGAATGTATCGTATTGTTTCTTTGTTGTTTTTCTCCAAATACCCTGCTTTCCTCCCACAGACCGAGGAGCTTGCTTGTTAAATTCGGATTAAATGATGAACTAACAGATGACAGATACAGTGCACAAATAAATGTTTGAATGAGTAGCTTTGTGGTCAATTAGACCGTTGAAGTGCAACATTATCATATTATTTGTGTTTGTGTTACTATCCTAAACAACCAGGAAACGGTTAGCTTAGCAGTGCGAAGCGGGCAAGTCATTATGTCGCTTGTTTCAACAATATGGAACCCAGACAACAAAACCAGCCGATTTTGTCAAGTTTTTCCTGAGCTTTTATAATACTTTTTACACTTATATTATAACCTGTATGGTAGTAAACATCAGAGTGCTTGTAGTCGATGAGAACTGGACAGGGCCAGCCAAGTGATTCCTTTGCTAAGCTGAAACTGCAAAGACACAAGAGTGTCTCTTTAACTCTTAACCGTTGATAAACATCATTCATTTATTTACAGATTTTACTGTAGGGGTGCATGGTGGAACAGCGGTTAACACTGTCACCTCTCAGTATAAGGGTTCAACCCTGCTGCCCACCTGGGCCTTTGTGTGCATGTTCTCCCTATGACATTAATCTGAGTGTCGTTCCTACTGTTTCAGCTTTGTGATAACATGCAAACTACCCATTGTACACCCTGCGTGTGCTGGAATAGGCTCCAGCCTTGAAAATGGATGGGTTTTATCGTACACTCATGACTGAAGTGAAGTGATCGTCAGGGGTAGACTGGATCTTCTGACAGGCCGCCCTGATGTCCTGCACGGTGGAGTGAAGGTCACTCAGCTCTGTTGTAATGGCCCTCTGGTTCACTGTCACAGGGAAATATTGGAGATGAGGTAACAAACCCATTGAAACTCAAAGGAAATATGCAAATCAAACTGTAACAACAGCATAAAATATGCAAAAGAAGCACACCTGATTCTACTGTATATTAACTATTAACTAAGAGCATTGTACCTTTAGCTGCCAGAGGCACTGTTGTGAGGTCTCTGGGAAAGCTGAGCAGCTCTGGGAAGTGTTGGCACAAAGACTTGGCCAAAATGTGGAGAAAGGTGGATTTCCCGTCTACTGTTTTGGTTGTGCTTAGCTAAGAGACAGAAGGAGAAGCGCATGAGCGACTAAACACTGAACTCGAGCTTACCGTGTTGAAGGCACAGACATCCGTGCTGTACCTCAGTTAGGAAGTTGATCTTAAAACTGGTCGTCCTGTTGCTCTTCGGCTGCCCGTTGTTCAGGTAATTTCCCATTGCAAGAACAAACTGTTGGTAAAGTAAAGCCGTAAGTATTCACTGCTAACACAGATATTCACAGATTTCTTTTCATTTCGACTGCTCATTTCATACCTCCAGGATCTTGGCTAATTTCTTGCTGCTCCTGAGCTCCACTGAAGCCTTGTAGATGTAATCGTACGCGATCTTCATCTCCTCCGTCCTCTCCTGTAGGGTCGTTTTAAAGTAGAGGCTCCGCAGGCGAGTCTTATAATCAGGCACCATTAGCATCTGAAACACAGACAATGTTAAATCATTTAGTTTTACTCTTTAAAACATGTCTGATCATCTCTGACATTTTTCCCTCACAGTCACCTGGAAAATGAACTGGTCCGGCTCGCTCAGCTTGCCCGGGTCCTGATCAAACTGTTCGTACTGTTTCACCTCTTCTTCGTCTGGGGCATACAGCAGCAGCTGCTTGATGTGGGCCGGCTCCAGCCTGTCGGTGGTCATGTTCATCAACACCTGACGCAGCTCTTCGGGGGAGATTTTCAGATGGGCGATGAGGATGGCTGCAGGGAGGAGGAGGAGGGTGAGTAGGCGGGGGGAAATGTGGAGAATTTATGTACCAAAGAGGATCACTGTGTTCCCGCTCTGCTGACAAACCCTTCATCTGCCTGTCTTTCACTCACATTTATTACCATGTGTCTGTAACATGTAGCTCTGAAACCCAGAGTCACATCATAAACCCGCTAATTAACAGTGAATTAGCAGTGCCGTGACAGAAGACAGAAGTTGCTGTGCCAAAGAGTCCAATCTGGATAACTGCAGAGAAGCAAGGCATCATTTTTAGACTTTTCATTGTCTTGCTATATTGCTGCACTGGCCTCTATTGTTACGCTGACGTAAGATGACTCTTTGTAATTCTTTGATCAAATTTGGCCAAATCTGATCCACGATCTAGGAAGAGCATAAATATACATGTCTTTTTCTTCTTGTAGAGACTCACTCTTTTTCCTTGTGAATGAAACATGAACGACCTGTTGGTACCAGTTAGCACAAAGCAAATCTAGAGAAAAATCAGTCAGAAGGTATAAGGAGAGAGCAATGATCTGTGGCCATTTTCTTTAAGGGAGTTATCTCGCTGTTACTTCTGCAGTGCACTTGTTTTCACCTTCATTCCAACCAAGGGAGGTGAAATAGATTCATGATGGTTTATAGCTGATATTCCTGAACTTTAACTCACTTGGATCATCCAGTGTTCCTTTAATTTACTTGAACAGTGTAACTGTATCCATTACGGTGGCCCTGAGAGGTCAAATGCAACTTAAAATGCAAGCAGGTAAAAAAAATGCTGCAAAAGCACAGAGCACACATGGGAAGCTGAATAAGTAGTAGCAGAAGTTTAACAGCTGCAGAGTCAGTGGTAAATTTCAACTCTTGATTCTGTTCTATTATCTTTGTTATGCTAATATATATGTCTGAGTGCGCTCTCACCTGAACCCTGCCCTTCGATGCAGCGTTACTACTTCAGGCTAACATGTTTTTATCAGGTTAATCACTTTATCAGTTAATTTTCATCAAGTTTATCAGCTATATATTATCTTGTGGGCACAATGTGGATTTGATACCTTGTCTAAATAGTGTCTATAATTCCTCTTCCACATCAGTTACGCAGAAAATGTTTGGCCTTCGTTAAGTGATGTTCTTTGTCTTCTACTTGTGCAACGTTTTTGTAACTATAAAAGGTATTTTTGCTGCAGTCTCACATCCTTGATCCTCGACCCTTGTGTCGTGTTTGTGTGGCACTCACAGGCATTGTAGGCTTTCTTATGAGACAGAATCTCCACCACGTCTTTCTTTTTTAAGTTCTCTGGCTGGAAGGCTGGCTCTGGAGGAGAGACTGATAATTTTAACAAACAGTGTAAGGATGCGTTCTCCTGGCACCAGGGGTCAATATGCAAACTAAGTCTAAGAGGCTGAACGTGGCGGGTTGGTGGGTTAATAACACACTCTGCCATTAGAGGCCATTAAAATGATTTTTAATCGGTAACAGCAAGTTGTGTGGTTTGTTTTTTACATAGGCAGATCTGTGTTATTACTGATAATCATGACAGAAAACAAGAGGGGGATATGGTGCCGTATGGAGAATGGATTTGAGGTGCAGGTGAATGAAGCAGCTCCAATGGAGAACATAACTGTGAAGGTACAAACACAACAGGCGACGTCAATAAAGACACACATATATTCAGATGCAATGCAAATGTATCGTTTTAGACACAAAGAGGTTAAGATGACTTGATGTGTATGAATTGATGAAGACGTGACAAAGTTACAAAATCACTCACTGGATCTGCGTTGAGTCCCAAAGTGCAGGTCCAGGTCTAAGTGCTTCACCATGTCGGTGAGCTTGTCATACTCTGAATCCTCCCCGAGCTAAACACAGACAAGGACACACTGTACTCTCCGAAGGCACAGTCAAAATCAGCTTTTTTAACTTGTTTCTTTTATTTTTGGTGTTCAGATTTTATTCATGTCTGATAGGAATATATGCTGGGATCAAAAAGGCTCAACGTTTTAACATCTAAAAGCAGATCAAGTCTGGCACAGCCTCTGTTTACAAAAACAACATTGTTGCCTTGATGACTCATCGGAGACACATAAGGAGGTTTTTCCAAATATGGATGGAGATATGTAGGAGTAGTGAGAAAACTCACAGTCCGAGTGGGTAGATTCACATGTTGTTTTCTTTTTTTACCGACAGAGCCATACATATACGTATCCGTACAGCCTCTAACCACAGGGTAATGCAAGATAACTGGAGATCACCACTCACCTGACCCCATATTGTTCCCTCAGAGTTCTCCACCTGCTCCCAGCGGAGCCTCTTTACACTCATGTGGTTAACGTCTGAGGCTTGCTGGCCCGGCTTGGGCAGCGGAGGTGGGTCACAAGGAGGAGGTAATGGTGGAGGAGGTGGTGGTGGAGCCTTGAAGATGGAAAAACAGTTACTTAACACTTAAGCCATAGTGTTCTAGTTCAGCACAAAGACAGCAGTTCTCACTACTGAATCATATTCCCACTGTGCGCATGGACCTCACAAGTTTCTTGTATACTCTTTAGCAGTTGTAGACAAAGAAATGATTACTGCTATTATTAGTTATTTAGGGTATGGGTCTGTCGTGGAAAGCAACAGCAAAACCGGGGACAGAGCACGAGGTTAAGCTAAAAAGAGCATGGCAGGAAGTACTGGGGTTGAGATGGGTTGCAAAGTGGCTTACAGCACACTGTGGACAGGATAAAGAAGATTAAAACAAAATAAATAGATTTCCCACTCAGGTCTATAGGAGAATATCAACTGAACTGTGGGTTGCAATGAGATCATGTGACCTATCGGGATGAAGTTGATGGTCTGCCTAAATGCTGTTCTCGAGTAATGAAGTCCAATTAAAATCTGGAATCATGTTAAATTCACGAACAGTGTTGGGGGAATTTGGGGTTTTGGTGGAAGAATACAGTCTCAGACTGGTCATGTAGTCTTTTTATTTCTCCTTATCCTCTGACGTCCCACAGGTCAAACCACACAGAGTGAAGGTTGGGCTACACTTAACATACTGAAGGCGTTAACTTTCAAATCAAGCCTCTTAAGTGGATTTTGGCCTAATAGATCTTCTGTCATAAAAGGCACATTTGGGGATGAAATAGATTTTAAAAAGTTGATTATAGATCAGACGGTACATCAAATCCGAAACTGGCTGCTGGCAAACATGAGCGATGTTAAAAGGTTAAAATGGGGCAAATGATGCAGAATGTTGATTAGCACCAGAGTGTTTAAGTGCTAGTTTGCACCTCTGTTGCTAAGCGCTCTTGGTTGCAGCACTGATGGAGTGAACCTCTTTGTGTTTTCATTTTCTATTTCTGTGTGTGCTGATGTCTTATTTGTACTTCAAGTAACAAGACAAAAAACAAACAAACCACAAAGTGCAGATGTTACCTGTTTGGAGGTGTGGTGTTCCTGCCTTGTGGTTTCCAAGGTCTTCATGTGACTGGGGAGGGTGGAGTGAGAGGTTGGAGGCTGCGAGAGCAGCGAGGAGCCCGCGTGGCCCTGGCTCTGACATTGGGATGGGCTGTGCTCCTGGAGGGACGGCGGCAGTGGGCCCTGGTAGCTGTGTTGGTGGTGGAGCTGGTGGTGCCTCTGCAGGACGAGCTGGCTCGGCCTCAGCAGCTGCGGGGAGGGCTGCGGGGAGGGCTGGCGGATAGGCTGAGGCTGGCTGAACTGTCGTGGGAGGTAGGTGGGGCGGGAGCGCAAGGTTTTGGTGGAGGTCAGGGTTGTGTGGCCGAGGCGGGTGGTGGGTTGGAAGCGCTGGAGAGTCTTCTCATTTTCGTCTCTGCTCGGGTGCTTTTTGTGTAGGGGAGAGCGGCTGGACAGGATGGTCCTCGGGGGGGGTGGAGGAGGAGGGATGATGGGGTGGTGCGGTTGGAAGGGCATCCGGCTGCGGGGCACGTGCTCGGGTGAGAAGCGCACTGGTGGGAGAGGGTCGGTAAACGGAATGGGAGGGGGTATGAGAGCCTGCAAGGGCGGAGGAGGCGGGGGGCTTTGGGTGGGAGGTGGTGGGATCGGTTCGGATCCAGAGGAGTAGCAGGGAGAGGAGGCCTCGTCGCTGCTGCTGTGATCCTCACTGCCGCTGCTGAGCTGCCGGGGCATGAAGCCGATTTCCTGGTCCTCCTGGAAGCTCATCTGGAGGGAGGAGGAGTGCACCATCAGCCCCGAGAACCACCTTCACCTCCACATAGTCTAGTAAACGGCTAATAAACAGCTTCTACGTTTTAAAATCCAGTCTATTCAAGCTAATTAGGTTATTATTAGGTTCATTACGGCTTTGACGTTTGCTTGAAATGTTGTACTGAAACTTACTCCACTGCCTGTTTATATTTGAACAGAAAAAGCGACACGGGGTGCGATCAGAATGTTTTGGAACTCTGACAATTTATTTTAAAGAAAGGTTTTGTCCTTGTGCACCTCTGGACTACTTCTACTAGTGCTGCTATTTTACGTCCCATTCATCTGTGATTTCTATCTAGACCACAAACGTTGGCTAAAAGCCGACATCTGTGTCAGACTGACCCAGCTTTAATGTCCTGAACCATCTGTGCTGGTGAGAGGTGGGTGTCTGGCTACCACCAGCGAACCAAAAAGCAGTTTTCAGTACATAAAGTCCAAGCTTGCTCAGGAAGGTCAGACTGTTCACACAAACTTCTACTTCAGCTCCATGCAGATCTGGCTCCCTACAACTCTATCTTTTCCCCAGAAATAAAGTTAAAGTTAACTAGTTCACTAAAATCAATGCAGAGGTGCACGAAGATGCAATCTTGAAGGGGTGACTAGCCAAATTCAAGTTTGCTTGATTAAAAAGGAGATTTTATTTTACAGGTGTAATCCCAAAATATATTTATCACACTTCATAGCAAGTTCAGAAATTCTGCTTCTTTTTTTTTTTTCTCTTTTTGACTTTTAGAATAGAAAATATCTACAAAATAACATCAAATCAAAGTGCTGATCTACAGAATTTAAAACCCATGCACTTAAATATCTCCAAACCTCTATATAAAAACTATGAAAATAACAATACAATATATTATAATATAACATAATGTGAATGGAAAAGAACCGTGACAATGCTATAAAAAGCCCAGTACTTATTCTAAATACAGATTACTAAACAGAAACATGTAGATAAAACTATGATATAACTGAGTATCGTTTTACTTACAGGCACAACTCTTCTTCTGAAACCATGACAACCACCTTGATATATCTGTTCGTGTGACACAAGTGTTCATTGTAGCGTACATTAGAGGTGCTCTAATGTAAACATGCAACACTACAACGTTAATACTTCTCTAAATGTTCAACTTGCTTACTGTTTATTAAGGAGCAAATGCACAAACAACAGATTTTCTCCTTATCATGCTAAATATATAAATCGAGATCACGGCGGTCTAACAGCTTCCACGCCGCAGCGGCGCACATTCTGTGCAACTGAGTCAGACAGGATGACATTTTCCCGTCTGGCCCAATCAATATTGTGGCAGTGAAAGTGAAAGTATGACCAGCATTAGCTTTTATTACAGCATTACTCGCACTCTGCATTGAAATTTAAACTCACTTGTAATTTAAAAGTAATGAATGTAGCAGCTTTAAATGTGAAATATAGACTATAATAATAATCCTGTGATGCATGACGCACGTTAATTGCAGGCACGGCTTCCAGTTATTCCTCTCACTGAACCAGCACCTACAAGAGTCTGAAGGTTTAATCAATGGAGATTTTATACTTGTAGAATGTAAACATTACAGAAGCTAGCTCCTTCTGCATAGGCTGCTGTAGGCTGAATAGTAAGTCACTCACTCTTAAGGTTAGGTCCATAAATTGTTAGACAAGTCTGGTTTAAAATCCACTGTGGGTTAGGGGTCAGGGCTCAACAATGAGAGCGTTCCACTTTTTCTGCTCCTGCTCCAAATAAAGGTAAAACACTTGTAGCATAGTTCTGCCTCTCACAGCTGGCAGCTCAGCGGTGGAATAACTGAAAATCACGTCTTAAGAAACAATAACGCCTGTTTTTCTTCCTCACCTCCTCGTAGTCGTTCTCCCCGGGCACGAAGTCATCCACCAGAGTGACCCGGTGGCCCAGCTGCTCGCTCAGGGAGTCCAGGAACTTGTCTGTGTCTCGGCTGCGTGGCGGCCGGGAGAAGGTGAACAGTTTTTTGCGGTGGGTCAGCACGTTGTGGCCGCTGTCTGAGTGATGAGGGGAGGCCGGGGGGCTCTCCAGACTGACATAAGGGTTGGAGTCTATGCTGCTTTGATGGTGGATTTCATACACGGGAGTGGGAAGAGGCTCCTTCCAAGACAGGGACAGGCCAGATTTACGATTACCTGTAGAGACGCACATTAAAAACGATGGCCTCGATTTATATTTAGGCCACCTTGACGTGAGGATCTTTCCTCTTAGTAAATATCTGACATTCTAGACCATGTAGTCACCAGGAGGATTATTTCTTCTGAGAGGTAACCATTGCAAAATAAATAAAAAAATAAACTGAAAGCTTGTGTGTTTGAGTGGTTGCCATGCCATGTTCACATCAGACTGGCAAAAAAATAGCATCACTTAGCAGCAATTCTGCTTGTTTGCCACCTATAAGGACACATCGTCCACCACAACCCCCCAAATCTCATCATGATGTAAACATGGCATCAGTCACGTGCCACCAAGGCCCAAAACTGATCGGCTTCTATCACTTTGCATGTCATTTTATCTGTTCATTATGCAAATATGGGACCCTGGTGGCTTAAAACAGCAAGATGAAAGCATGTATCTGAAAGCGTGTGGATGCGGTGAGTTTTTAGGAACCCAGAATACCTGTGAGGGTGGGGAGTGTGAGGGGAGAGAGAGGGCTCTCGGGCTCTGGTGAGGAGCCGCACTGCAGTGGAGGCACACTCTTTCCTGCGTACACGTTCTCCAGCTCCGTATACACACCTGTCATCTACAGATGAAGGCATGATCATCTCATTAGCACATTATTGCTGGGCACATTTTCTTTGAAGGTCTGCTGCTTATTAGTGTTTTAATTTTTTTTTTTTTCGGTTAAGCTGCAGACTCACATCTGACCAATTATCAAAGTATGATGATAATGATCAGCAAACCTTCAAATCAAGTGAGACCAGAGAGCACAGAGATCATAGCTAGCGTTCCGTAAATGCCAGTCGCTGAGGAGCTAGGCGCGGGAAAGCTGCGGGTATACCTACATGATTGAGGTCAGGGGACTCGGGGAAGGAGGTTCCATCTCCTGACTGCCTCTCCTCCGGGCTCCCGGATTCATCGATATGAATTCCTAAAGCACAATAAAGCATGAACAGTGACACGTGTTCATCCACCATCCACCTCCAGCCTGGGAGGAGAGCGGATGAAGCAGAGCAGAACAGCGCAGAAGGAGCAAAAAAAGCTCAGGTCCCGCAACGGGGGTTAGCGATGGTAATGGAAAACTGGGGAAAAGTAAAGTACCTGAAGCCTGAAACAGCCAGGAAATAAACACTGTTTCAAACTGAGAGGTTGGGGAAGTTTTTAAAAGCAAACGGATGCTGAGAAATGGATGTAATGTATGACCTGGTGATGACTTTTTTTCTTTTTGTTAGTAGCAGTCCTATGTGAGCTCAAACACTTACACACATTCCCACCTGGGATTTGGCCACTGCAAATAAAGCCTCGTTACTTATCTCTGATAAGACCTGGATCAATGGGAATTTAGGTAGCGGCGGGTGAATAGTACAGTAACTTCATCAGGAATCCCCATTTACTGTCTCATCGTCGATTTCTCTTGTATGAGTTGTGTTATAACGATGGGAACACAGATTTAAATAAGCACACAGCTTATTAGCAATAACAACCCCATTTAAATCCCTCTTGCTTTACAGATTTCATTAAAGCGGCATTAACATTCTGTGTTGGTCACCTGGGGCAAACAACCTTGTTACGACACCATTTCAGTTCATCCAGCAGTGACGAAGCAACGTTCCCACTCAAGTCTCTCTTTTTTTGCCTCCCGAGGGAAAAAATCTTCATCTTCATCAGCTAAATGTTCACCGGCTCTACCTTTAATTGCTAACTTTGTCTTCCAGCTGTCTTTGCGCTGTAGCCTACAGTGGCTTATTAAAGCTTTTACATCAAAGAAAGGTTGCCCGACGACAAGATAAATTGCTTAAAGTGGTTATATTGTAGCAGATGTGTTGCAGGAAGGAGCTCGAAGGCTTTTTAAAACCTTTGTATCAAACCCAGCTGAACAATTTCTGGAATTATAATGATTTTGTGCTAAAGGACAACAGGCTCTCATTCAACATGTTTATCCTGCTGGGACGTTGCCGTGCATAAGCGTACCCATTCCTAGGTGAGTCCCAATGATGCAGTCATCGGAGCTCCTCTCTCGGACGTTGTTGCGGTACGACGACCCCGTCACCCGCATGGAGCTGCTGCGCCGGTGGTGCTCTGGACCGTTGTCAGGCTCTAATAATGCTGCAAAACACACACACACACACACACACACACACACACACACACACACACACACACACACACAGGGTCAGATTGGCTCTACTTTGCTATTTATATAAAAAGCACGATAAACATCGATAGTACATCACGATAAAAATCCAATTCAACTTCTCATTCGTTTCATGCCTCACCGTTGCTCTTGTAGCCAAGGAAACGAGACAGCTTGCCCTGGCAGCGCTCCTGTTCATCGTAGGTCAGCAGCTGGTAGATGAACTTCCAGATCAGCTGCTTGGCTGGAGTGTCCAACACTGGAAACACGTCCACGATCAGGGTGTCCACGTTCCTGCAAACACACGTGCTCCATATCCACTCACTGTCTTCTTTATATAATTCCTGCTCATGGCTGACTATCATTCAGTGCAAGGGTTTATTTTATATTCTTTGTACCATGTAAAGCTGAGAAAGAGATGCTGGGAGAGAGCAATGAAAAGGGTGGGAGGATAACAAAGATGTCACTTATGGTATGATTTATGTTGTTGGGTGTACGCTGTATGCATATACAGTTGAATAACAGTGGTATTTTAATCCTGCTGCCTCACATGTTTGCATCATCTGCTGAGCTAATTCATCATCCCGTCTTTCTCGATCCCTTCATCCTATATAGGAAATAATATCAGAACCTAACTTAAGCTGTAACTTCCTGCTTCCGCTGCTAACCCTTCATTTGCTCAATAATCCATGTCTTCGTTTGCTAACAGATTCCTCTGTAACCCTGTAACCCTCTGCTCCCTGTCCCTTCGCTCACTGACCTGTGCTGGAAGAATGTCTCTAAAGCTTTGCAGACACTGTATCTCTCCTGGATGGTCAGCAGGTGCTCCAGCTGCTGGCTGAAAGTCCGCCCGTGGACTTTGATGCTCGGTGGAAGAATCTCTGCAACCCACTGCAGAGAACTGAGACCAGGAGACCTGGACAGCATGTATGGAGGAAACCGAACATTAATTTTTCCATTCCTACTTACTGAACTAATCCTTCTCCTTCATTCAAAACGAATACACTGCTACAGGCTAGGTCTAGTGTCAGATTTTTGGTGTGCTAACCTAGAGCGTGGCAATGTGGTGGGGGCCAGACTAGAGGATTCATCTGCATCTGTTTGGTCTGAAGAAAAGTCAGATGGACCCTCCTCCACCACGAGAGTGGGCACTGCCCCGCTGCCCTGCAGCATAGACACCACCTTCTCATGGGAGCAGTTCCTAAAGCAAGGGGAACAAAAAGGAGAGACGATGGCTGTTAGCTGTATAATAGAAGGACTGAAGCAATGTGCACAAACCAGCAGAATCACTGCGTTATTATGTAATACTAAGATAAGTATTGAAATTGAAAAATTATGTAAGCAGACATACATAAAAACTACATTTAACAGGATTATATAATAAAAAATAATTTGTTTCAGTGTGCCCAGAAACACTGCTGCTGCTCTAAGACACCTTGCAAGCCACGAGAAGCTTCCCACACTTACTTCTATATTTTGGTACAATATGTGAGAGCATCTTGTTCTTTATGTGATGTACACAGACACTATGAATCCAAATATAAGCCCTGGTAATCACGTACTGCAAAGTTTTAACAAATACACGTTGTTTTTTTTACCTTAAAGGTATGAGGACTGCAAAAATAATTGTTTCCATCATTATAACAAATATATCATTTTCCACATTGTTGCAGACGCTTTGTAAACACTAGACTGTAACGTCCAAATCTCTTGTACTTTCTTTTCCTCCTTCTTGCTGGCGAGCACCTCCCACTGTTTTCCTGATCACCTCCTACGGCTGCAGCAGCATGTTATCAGGGAGAGCAGCGAAATTATACATTGCCAATCAAATGAGTACATCAAGCAGCCTGGGAGATGCGCTGTGACTCTTCTTTCACATGGTTATCAGGGTGACAGGATAAGTAGTGCTGTTTCCTCACATGGAAATACTGTCTGATGCATTGCTTGGTATAGTGTATTTGCTGAGCTCGCACATGTACAGTTCAAATTCAGATTTCTTATGTGCACTCCCACACTCACTCACGAGAAGGAGAAGGTCAAGAAGTTGTCAAGTCTACAGAAGAACTACAGTGACTCCCACGAGGAAAGTTCAGTTTACATAAAGGCTGTGATCACGTTCATCAGCCCATGGGCGCATAGGGTACCTGCACACGTGTCAAGGTATGTGAAGGAGCGCTTCATTCACATACCCCTCAGGATGGGCTGTAAGAACCCATTTTTCCTGGAGATGTAATTACTTGAAAATGTGGAGATCTGATTGTCAAATATCCAATAAAAAAGAGCTGAGTACTGTGCAAAAGTCTTGAACCAGCAGTCACATTATCATATTTCGCTTAGAAAATGCGAATAGGTACATCATTTTGTTTGCAGTTTTAATTAGCTTTAAAGTCAATATTTGGTATAACCACGTTTTTAATAAAATCCGACTTTACTTTTCGGTGCTCATTATTAGATCCCCTACTGCAGCTGTAAACATGACAGTCTCCACTGTGTTTTACAGATGGCTACAGACATTCACTCTAGTATCTTGCTTCTGACGTTCTCTGTACATACTGGCCAAAATCTGATCCAGACCTGTCAAATTTCATCACTCAGACCTGTTACCACTGCTTTTCAGACCAGTTCTTGTCTAATTTGGTATACTTCTGCATTTTCTCCCCGTTTCCCTTCCTTGAGAATGGCTTCTTGACAGCCACCTTTCCACTGAGAACCCTTCTGATTGGACATTATGTGTTTTTGTAACAGGCTGCTAGTAACAAAATATCTAAAGATACAATTTAAAATGGATTCTTTGCTAAGTGTAGACACAACACTGATTCATCCCTTCAGTTAGATGTTTTTTTTAATGCTTGAATGACTCATAGGTCCGTGTTAAGTGGTTCAACATGAAAAAAGTCCCCAAGACCACAAAGAAAGTCTGGCTCATTGGCAGCAAAATATAAAGAATGAGGACTGACTCAAGGCTTTTGCTGAGGGCTGATAAAATGTGCTGGTGTAAAAAAAAATGCTATCTTTGTGGGTTTTTCAAAACACTAAAAATTCTACTCATATATAAAGGTAACAGGAGATAGATAGTAACAGATATAGTTATGGTACACATCCCTGAACTAAATAATGACTAACGAAAACACTGCTGTACATCCTGACATTGAACTTAATGCCAGAATTTAGCCTGAAAACGGTCACTGTGTAACAAATTTAACAGTAACACCATCATTCGTGCTGTGAGTTGTAGAAATGAAAGATTTCCTGTAAGGTCTTGACTCGTCTTATCTTGTGTTGACTGATCAATAAAGTTAGTGCTGCTGTGCAATATGTAAAAATGCAGGCAACTCCCTCAGAGTGGGGATACTCATATGGATCCTGCTGCTTTAGATCGTTTTATGAAACTCCAGGTAAATCAGAGGAAGAAATCCTGTAAACAGCTGAAAGCAATAAACACTGTTCTCTTACAGACAGCACTCAAGCATGTCTAGGGCTTTCTGTGTTTTCTTTGATATACATATGTTGATTTGCATCAAAGTAAAGAGTCTGATAACTAGACTTTAAATTGTGTGCCAAAAAAAACTGTCTAAAGTTAGGCTCTGAGATTTGTTTTGTATTTAATGTGAGATTTGTTTGGGTAGTGATGAACAGTTACTAAAACCTATGGTCTTGCAGTGCACAGCTGAAGACACAGTCCACAAACTGTTTCCATGATGAAAATCTCATAAAATTCAGCACAGAAACTATGAGCGTCATGTGCTTGTGAAAATATCGAGGAGAATCTACGTCAGAAAAAAATCAGAAGGGTTATGTGTTTGTGATGGATTATCTGGCTCAGTGAGAGCTGTTTTTCATACTGAGGCAGAATAAATGGCAGCAGATGGCTTCTGCTGGAGAAAAACAAGTGCTGATGTCTAAATATACTGTGTAAGGTCAAGAACTCGGGCAGCAGGGAAAGGCAAAATACTACAAACTACTACTGCTGCTAACAATAATTTCCATTAAAGACAAACCTCATGTCCAGTCCGTTGAGAAAGAGGATACGGTCGCCTGTTTTCAGTCCACATTCCTCGGCGGGACTATCTGAGAGGTCGACAAAGATGGCAGAAAATCAAACATCAATCAGAGACTGAAAAAACCCCCTGAAACCAATCCTTCCAGCTAACGAGGTGCACAGAACAGACGGGCACAACGGGGGGAGAGATGGTGACTAATGTGATGCTGTCAATCTGTGTATGAGATCCAACAAAGCCCATCAACAAACAAGATGAGCTCCATGCTAAATCTTATTACGTAAGGAAACAGTGCTGTCAAAACAATCCCTGGCAGAATAAGTTCTGACTGCACTGTACCCATCGCCTCCTCATCTGTCAGCACACTGCGGATGAGGAGCTGTCATGTCATTTGTTTTTTTTTCTTGTTCTTTTGGATGCAGTAAAGTCTTAATGGGGAAACGGGGTTGTGGCTTCCGGGCTATCGGCAAAGAATCTGTGGTCAGATCACGATGAGAACTATGCCACCCACCTCCACAAGGGCCCACTGAGTCAGTCCGCTCTGGCTGTTTCAGCACATGTTGGTGGGGGATGATGGTGGGCGGGAGCAGTGCCGTCATCGTCAAACACACACACAACGCACACGCACACCGCCTTCCTCACCAAGGAACCTGGCAAATTCCCTCAGCAGTAGCTTCACAGCCTCCTTGTCTGCTAGTTTTGCTTCAAAAAGCAATAACTGTGAATTAAATAACCTTTTACTGCGGGAAACTTAAGAAAGTAATTATGAATATTTCACATAAGCTCTAAGTGGAAATTAGATTTAAAAGCTAGCTTTAATAAAACAAGCAAAAACCGCCTGTGAGAGTCGTTCAGCCTTATAGTCACCCTATATGTTGATGCAAGTCTATAAAGGAAAAACATATTAAACCACGGCTGCTTGTAGAAATAGTCGACAATAAGAAAAAGAACAAATGGGAAATCAGCCTAATTGCATGTTTGGCCAGAGTTAGACAAGGAGATCAACAGCTAGGCTGGCTGGATTGCTATCAGGCATTTAGATGCCCACAAAACCCCAAGCTGACAGCTCTAAGATGACGTTTTCTGCATGGCTTAAATATTAACGATGAAACCTGTTGGTAAGTAAGCTCTAGAAGAGATGATTACCACAGCAAGCTGTTTTGTCTTGTCCTCAGTCCCAGAAGCATTTGAGTGCCCTTCATTGTAAGTATATGACACTAATATATTTGCAGTATGACTTGATGTACAAAGGATTTACTCCTCCACCCTATGACCAGTTAAACTGCACAGGAAGAGCAATAAACAGAATATAAAGTACATCTGTGCGGCACTGACTGACCACAGGTGTACCTGCTGCCGCACAGCACAGCCTGTTAGCATTTCACTAGTGAGTCAGATAAGTCCACTTCCGACAACACTCACAGTCTCTCACACACACAAACGCCTCCTGATCACCTTCGGCCCCGAGCGGCTGGCACCACAACAGCCTCACCCGCGTAAAATACATCTGCCCCCCTCACCGCCCACAACGCAGAACGGCGCACGAGTGAAAAGCCGCCACACAAAGAGAGGAGGCGTCAGTCAGGACTGCACTGTACTTGGTTTCATTATAGAAGCAGTACCTGGGATGACGGAGTCGATGCAGACGGGAGCGTGACCCCGCAGCGTGAAGCCAAAGTTCTTCTTCCCCCTGTAGACACGGACGATCCTGAGGAAGGGATGCAGGCAGGAAGTGAGATGAGCAGTTCATTCATTCGGATTTAGAGCTCTCTGAAAAACCTTCGTGACTAAATGTTTCTAACAACGAAAAGCTTTGTGCCTGTCTACTGGCCTTCAACTTTCAAAGAGGGTGACACAAACTCTACATGAAGCAGAGCGCATTCATGGCATTTATGTCCAAAGCATTTTTCCTTTGTTCTGAACACTTTCAGCCGACGCTCTCTGCTGAATCACATTTTCGAATTTCTTGTGTTTGCGTCAATCCATCCTCCAAAAGCAGCACCTTTAACCGACTTAAAAACTTTCAATTTGAGCAGTAACCAAAACCTGTAATTTATTTTTTGGGCTTTTTTGATTCCCTCATCACCCATTTAGTCAAAATCTGAACAGTCTAAAACGCAAACAAAGGAAGAAAAAGCTGGAAGTGGAAAATGTGTGGAATTTGTAAAAGTGATCAGTCAAACAAAATCGGACGAGCGAGTTCTCAGTGTTGCTCGTGACGTCATTTAACAGCATTGATGGCTGTGAATGAATGAATGGGAAGCCCAGCTGTCCCCGGAGTGAGCACTCACTCGCTGTTGTTTACAATCCTGCCTGCGCTTCGTTTTTGCTTTTGTCACTTCCTGTAAGTGGGAGTCTGAACAAGCACAGACGTGACCCTCTGTTTGCCTCGATCCAAGCTGACATTTTTCTAACGTAACCCAAATCAGTCCTGCTTGAATGCCAGACATTGTTTTTTGTTTCCGGCTTTAATAAAAAAAATTTGGGACATGTTCAGAATAGCTTTGACATTTTGCTGAATGCGGGGCTCCTCTCTCTCATTCACCCCAGTCGGAAGAATATGCGTCGGAAAACCTCCCGGTGTATCAAAGATGAGGCTCGTTCAGTCTATCCGTGGAGCGTTGCCATGGAGATAACTAAAGGCAACGCTGCTTTGGTATATAAACAGGAGGAAGGCAAAAAAGACAACAAGAGAAAAGAGACAAACCTATTCTTTGATAGCCGTGGTTATACGCTCTTATGTAAGCCAAGCTAAATGCAGAAAGGCACACTGGGTGCTGAATGTGGATTTGTGTGTGTGTTTGAGGGCTGAATAGAAAAAAAGAAGCATCAGCTCTGAGCACACTTGACAAACTAAGTGTCTGTGACTATCAGGCTGCTTGAGGCCTCTCCTCATTCCCTCCGGGCTACACCAGCAGAGCTTCATACACTTATGTATAATTTCACATGACCTCAGCTGAATGCACTCTGAAAAGGTATCAGTCAGTCTGCTGGTACATCAACAACCGTCACATTGTACACACATGCATAGCAGACAGCTACCACACTATAGTGCTTGATTTTGTGTATCAATAGTCAGTAGAACATTTTGTACAACAACACATCTGGGGGTGGATTTACCCGAAATGTTATGTCGACATCTCTCTCCACCTGTATCCCACTGGTCTATCGATCTCTTTCTCCATCGCTCTACCGAAATGTCACCATGTTTCTCGGTCTATTTCTATCTCCCTGCCTTCAGCCATCTGTCTGTCACTGTTTCTTCACCTCTGCCAATCAGCTTTTGTGGTCGGTTTGTTTGTCTGGCAGGATTACTAATGAAGTTATGGACAGTTTGGCGCAACTTAGAAGCAACTAACTTTCACAGTCTATCTAGATCCACATCCAAAATCGGGTGTTTTTGAAGGGTTTTTTTTGACAACTCCTTAGTATTGCCAGATAACTGGAAATGGGGAAAACTGGGGGACATTGTCCTGATGATGTCAGGAAACCTAAATAATCTCTTGGATTCAGAGGCTCACTTTAATTTATGCAGATTTTCAGTTTTCAGTTATGCAGTCTCTTGAATTCTCTCGTTCCTATATGTTTTATCTATATTTATTTCCTTCTGTCTATATTATTTCGTCTAGATATAGATATATAGACTGCATCTATATCATCACCTCATATCACTCTTTATCACTCCGTTTACCTGTTTATCTGTTTACTCCTTACTTCTGTTCGTCTCTTTTTCTGTTGATATCTATATCTATCTCTCTGTTCCCACCTCTAGCTCTGTCTCTCGCTCTCTCTCACTGCTCTATGCATATTTCCAGTTACTGTGGAGACACAACAGTGTTACACAACAGTCTTTTGGGTTTATTCAGTGCATGGAAGGCACCAGCAATGCAGCGCGACTTCTTACTGACACATGATGCCCCTTTAACACAATCAGCTCACTTCCTGCTGCATTGTGCCCGGCCTGCATGATCACATTTGTCATAAAGGGCCACATGTTTTTTAAGACCTCCTGTTGCTGAATACTCAAAGACCCCAGGATTTTATTAGTTAGCTCGCTAGAGAGATTTACTGCCACAGTCCTGTGCTGCACCATGTCCACTGTTGTGTTATTAACTGGACAGTCGTGTAATCAAGTGTGTTAGTAGGTGGAGGAAAAGTGTCAAATGGTTAGGGGGGGGGTCTACCCCATGTAGGATGGTTGCCAAGAAACAACCAAGAAGATGGTAGAAGATGGTTACAATGTGATGTTTTGTTAAATGAAACAAATACGCAGCTGTGTGTGAACATCTTCGTGCATGCACAGACTTGCTCTAAGTGCAGCTTTATAAAACTCTGAGGAAGAGGAGTTTTAGCACACGTTAACAGATAAAGCAGTCCCTGGATTCTGCTATAATTTTTAAAAGGGACTTCTCGGCTCTTGAATTATGAATTAACAGTTAACAACACTTAAAACAGAGCGAAAGGACTCGTGAAACCTGCTGTGTTTGATATGTGTGCTTACCTCTGATTGGGTCCAATGGGGGGATGCACGGGTATCCCTGAGACGGACTTCCTTAAGCCCCTGTCTCTCTCCGCTTCTCCCCTCCCTCCGGGTTCTCCTCCATCCCTTGGCACTGAGCTGGCCCGTTTGGACCCGCGGTGGCGGTCGGAGTGATCCTCGCTCCGACTGCGACGGATTCTGCCATGCGGCTCGCTGATGCTCTTGCTGCGGCAGAGTCGGTTGATTACGTTCTGGGAGACGGTGTCGTCGAAGCGCTGCCGGTGCTTCTTGGGAATGAAGATTCTGGCCAACATGGCAGCATATGAGGAAAACAAATTGGTTGGTGTTAACTGTTTTTCCATAAGAGTTCCTCTACGAAAAGCAAAGAGATGGGTAGAGGATGGATCTACATCACAGATCCACCTCGATCCATTTTAAAGACACAAATTCCACAATCACGACTCTGAGAGCGATGACAGCCAGTGTTGGAAGAGATTAAAAGTTATGATACACTTCAAACTCTACTGAGAAAATGTTCACAGTCCTAGTCGGCACAGATTCGGCTCAACAGGCTTCCATCTTCATGTCTCAGATCTGAAGAAAAGATGAAAAGGTTTTGACTGAATGGAGAGTCTTTCCCCTGACTGAAAAAGAAAAGAAGTTGAATTTGATGCAATCTTTCTCTGAGGAAATAGACGGTGAAGAAATCGTGGCGTCACTCACTGCTTGCTGGAGTCTTACTGCTGCAGCAGGGGTACCAGAGCCAGAATACAGCATGAGAAAAAGGTGTGGGAGTGAGTGAGCAAGGGATTTCTCCTCTCTCTCTCTCTCTCTCTATACAGCAACCGATTCTCGGTCTTTCCTACACTTCCGTCTACACATCACCTACAACTGAGGCAGGAAGCTGTCATTTCATCCACCTAGGCCCTGACAAGGAAACGCAAAGTGTAACGCACTGGGATAAAATAGGAGCAGGGGCATCAATTACAGTGAAATACTGAGTTAAACTGTATGAAATCACAATGTTTTTTTATTTTGTAATCCAATGTGATTTCCTACTAAACACCTACTGTTTTCATTTAAATATCAATATACAGCTATGACATCGATAAAAGTTATTTTCCTGAAGTCTTACTTTGAGAAAAGTCAAACACTTGAAATGTTATGCTTGTAATATAACATTTTAAACATAAGCAGTCACAGTGACTGATATGTTATAGCAGCTGAACATTGGTAGGGTTAGTCGTCATCACTCATGAGTGATGAGTAACTATCCCCTGTGGAGCCTACAGTTGGTTGCTGGGGTGCTGAAGGGTTTCAAACAGTAGCCGTGCTGGCTTGTCAGATGGAGGGGTGGGACACGCAGCTGACATCGAGAGTGGGAGCATTTATCTGGTTTATGCTGTAAAAACAATAAGACACATTGCAACAATCCAGAGGGGATGAATTCATTATTTTAACCGCTTACAAACGATGTATCTAACAATGGAATGTTTTTTACATAACCCTAGCCCTAATCCTAGCCAATCAGAATTGAGATTTAATGGTATTATTCTCCCAGAACAAAGAAAATAACCTAATACATCTGTTTTTCTCCCCCCAAAGAGTTAGGTTTTGCCTTTCTCTAGGGTTATGATCTATGACGACCGATATCGAAAGCTACGTTATCCACACACAATAATAGAAATAAACATTGTGTAACACTTATGAATTAATGTGCATTTAATGAGGTATAAGTATTTGATCACATTTGTTACTTGGTGGAGTAACCATCCTTAGCAAGCACAGCTTTTAGATATTTCTTTGTAGCTATTGCTAGGTTTGAGCTAAGTTTTCAGATCTACTCTTTCCTGATCTTCTCCAAATTCTTAATGCTACTTCACCTCGAGACTATGATGTGCTTCTTCTTCTCGAGGGACTCCTTTGTTGTTTTGGCATATGCTTTGGATCAGTGTCCTACTGGACCTGCCCATGATGCGTTTGTCGGGCCCCGGCTGAGTGAAGGAGATTCTTGTCCAAGATTTGTCCATCTTTCCAATTGAGCGATACAGTCATCGTGTAGCTTTGGCAGAAAAACATCCTCAGAGCACAAAGCTTCCACCACCATGACAGTAGGGATGCTGTTCTTTGGGTCACATTCACCCTTCTCTTCACTCCAAACACAATGAGTGGATTGATACAAACCAAGTAAATTTTGTTCTCATGTAACCACATCACATTCTCAGAAGTCTCACCTGAATCATTCAGGTGTTTCTTTGGGGGTTTGTGTTCTTTTTTTTCTTTTTTCTTTTTACAAGTTTGTAAGAATTTGACAATTTTTGCTACGTAGCGTTACAGATACTTTTCGCTGGTACCGAAAACATGTAGAGGTTCTCTTGCTCGTCTTTCTGAGCAGACTGGGAACAAACTAAATATCAAAGAGGGGGATAAGAGTGAACTGTACATGCTGTTTCTTATGGAGTGCTGCAAACAATAGCAGTGACTAAGAGACAAAACAAAACAAGTCCCCACTCACCAGCAAACACACACACACACACACACACACACACACACACACACACACACACACACACACACACACACACAGCAGAAAACAACTATTCATTCAAAAGATTAGAACTGCTGCCAGGAGACAAGACAGCCACCCACACACACACACATACATGCACACACACTTTCTGGAACTATATTTCTTAAATGTAGATGATCTAACATTAAATGACTGATCATCAGGTTTTATGATATGCATAGCTCCGAAATAAAAAACAGTTGGAAAAGTCAATTATCCTAATATTAGGTATACAAAGTAAACAAAGTATCCAAGAAAACTGGAGTAACAGGAACCCCCCTCCCATGTTTATGTGGTTATTCCGATCATTTCTACCTTATAATAGCAGTTGAGCTTAGATTACATACTGAACACAGTGGGAGAAAGAGCTCGCATAGCATCGTCCAATCGTTTAAAGTGGATTTTCTATTCATTTCCTTTTCTTTTTTTTTCATTAATAGATAATTACATGCTCATACATTTAGGGCGAGAGTTGGGGTACACCCTGGGCAGATCGCCAGTCTGTCACAGGGCTAACGCAGAGACACACAATCATTCACACCTATGTCAGTTAGATTGGGTATTCTTAATATGGTGGTCATCACAGATACATACGTTTGTAGCTGTGAGCACAAAAGTTCCTTCAGCTTTTTCTTTACGAGGGGCAGAAAACTGAAATGTAGGGAGTGGGGTAGCTTTTTTTAGTAGATGAATTTAGGGATCCCTCAAAGTCCTTGTATAGAGTCTGACTGTTTGTCTATATAGATAGTTATTTATCCCCACATGAATTCGAGGAGATCTAATTCTATAAGTATGCTAAGGCTACTTTCAGGTTGTCACAGCAGATAGGCTCTGCCTTTTTGATTTGGCAGATTGTTTTAAGCTGATGCCCTTCCTTATGCAACTCCCAGGGGACTTTTGTCTCCCACCACTGGCAGGAATCTATCATTTGTTAGGTGAGTGTGTAAACCACTACACTGTGGAGCTACTCCTTTCAGTACACCAAACCAGCTCATGAGCGGTGAGAACTGGAAAAAACCCCAAAAGAAATCACGCCACCTCTGAGAATTTATTAGCACAAGCACATACTGCCACAAGAAGGCAGCAGCCTACACATCCTGAAAACAATGCATGCTGTATAAAGTCTATTAACACTACGCTTTTTCTTTACTTCTCAAGGACCACATGTGAAGGACGTGTAGAAAATTCAAAGAGCACCAAAAACATTTGAAGTTAACATTTGATGATTGTTGGATCAGTGAGCTGAGGCCGGACACATATTTGCACAAACAACCATTTTGATTCCCACCTACACCAGCCTGTTGTGCTCTGACTGTCTGCTGCCGCTTATCTGCTGATCAGATGAATCAGTCATTAGCAGACAGGGCGCAGGGTCGGTGAAAAACAGCACCAGTCAAGCAATTAACCACGAACGCGCAAACAGAAAGGAGGGAGGAACAACAGCTACCACTGTTCATGTCCACGCGGAGCTAATTAAGCTGCAGCAACAATTCTGACAGCTAAATAAAGCAATTAGGACACTCGTTGGACAGAGAGAGAAGCAACTTCACAGCAGATGTGACTTTTCGCCAGCGTGCATTTAATTATCCATGGCTGCTGAAGTGCTTTATTAGGAGGTATTCAGGAAAATATGCAGCACCTTCAGCCCTGTTCTGTACTTGTAAGTGAGGCAAATAATGAAGACTCACTCACATCCAGAACCTACCGGTCACAGCTGCTGTTAACAACTTGTCAACTAATGAAGAGCTTGTTTTTGAAAAACCTGCCCAAAACATTTTCACTCTTTATAAGCTGTAGAAACAGGCCTGTAGAGATAACAATGATGTCATTAGAGCCTGAACCATTGTCCTTCTGGCCAGTGGTGGTATTTGACACTGTAATAACTACAAAACAGCAGCTGATGTTGACAACCAGTATAAATCCATCAGGCACATTTCAGCGGCAGTCTTTAATGACAGCAGCCGCCTCCAGCAGGAGACGCCACAATCTTCCAAGGTCACAAATAACAACACCAAAAGCATCTACTGCCAACGTCCCACTGCAGCTATAGGTGTGGTGTTTGTGCCCCAACCTGTCACAGCTGTTTTGCCAGCATGCACAGGGAGTACACAATCTTATACTAAAGGTAAAATAACTATTTAAGTAGTCTTCAGGAGTAATTTTCCAGGCCTCTTGAAGGACTTTTTGGATGTTTGCTGCTTTCTGATCTCTTCTCTATGTCAAGATGATCCCACACTGCTTCATTAATGCTCAGGTACAGGCTCTGAGGAGGTCAATCCATGACTGATACTCTTCCGCTGCGTGTTTTTCTATCCAGGTACGGTTTTACTGCATTGGTAGTGTTTTCTGGGAGCACTGTCATTGTCAAAGATGGTGCTGGGAAGGGCACGCTCTACTCCATCCGCCAACCAACATCTCTAGGCAGGCTCTCAGGTGGAACCCTCAAGGCGAAAGAGAGGCTGCCCAAGAAACACCTGGAGATGAGACCTCGAGGCAGAAGTAAAAAAGATGGAGCCAACTAGAAAGAATGGCTCAGGACAGAAATCTCTGGAGATCTATCTTTGGCTGCCCTTACCCTGGCACGGGTGATAGTCAGTAGTCGTAGTAGTCATGCTGAAAAATGAAGCTGTTTCCAGACACCTTTCAGATTGCATTGCATGATCTGAAGGCATTTTTTTGCATTCATAATTCCATCAATTTTAACATGAGCTCCAACAATACTGGCTGAAATGCA